TGTGCAGCTTGGATGTTTGTCCCAGAATTTGCCATTTCTTTCTCAATTCCCCACAAATTCTAGTTTAATGAATAGCGTTTTAGATTATTTGTGTGAGGCAATTTTCATATAAAATGTGATAAGTAGCTTCATACTGCCACCTGCAGCATCATTAGAACAATGCTTAGAGGAAGTGATTATTCCATGTATGAGAGTTTGTGTGTATCAGATAGTGTGCGTGTATGTGTTATGTATCAGTGAGTATTTGAGTGTTTGTGTATATTTATCAATAATTACATACCAAACAGTTTGCATGTATGTATTGGTGAGTATGTGAGCGCTTGTGTATAAATTATCAATAATTATGTGTGTGTGTGTGTATGCGTGTGTGTGCGTATCAGACAGTGTGCATGTATGTATCGGTGAGTATGTGAGTACTTGTGTATGTATCAGTGTGTGTGTGTTTGGGTCAGTGATAGTCTGTGTATATCTGTGTTTATGCATCAATGATAATCTGTGCATAGGTTATTGTGCTTGCCTGTTTGGGTCAGAGTGGGTGTACATATGTCTGTATATGCACGCGGCTGATTGTGTTTGAGTCAATGTCAGGATGTGTCTGTGATTGCAAGTTTGCTCTCCAATTGCCAATTGGAACGTTTTTTATCAAAAGTTCTTTATCGAGTGCAGGAGGCGGAGCTCTCGGGCAATTTATTCTTGGTTGACATCACATGCAGAGTGTTCAATAGATTATATAAACATGAGCCCCATTGTCACACTTTACTCAAGAGTCAACACATGAGTTACTCATGTCTGCATGAATCAATTCAGTTGCGTCACAATAATGCCACCCGACACACAGAACATAAGTGAGAGTGCAAGAAAATAGGACAGAAACTAATTAGAGTTTCCAGGCTTAACGTGGACAGAGAGATAAATCGTAACTGTATAAGATCTGATTAACAGAGAGATAAATCGTAACTGTATAAGATCTGATTAACAGAGAGATAAATCGTAACTGTATAAGATCTGATTAACAGAGAGATAAATCATAACTGTATAAGATCTGATTAACAGAGAGATAAATCATAACTGTATAAGATCTGATTAACAGAGAGATAAATCGTAACTGTATAAGATCTGATTAACAGAGAGATAAATCGTAACTGTATAAGATCTGATTAACAGAGAGATAAATCGTAACTGTATAAGATCTGATTAACAGAGAGATAAATCGTAACTGTATAAGATCTGATTAACAGAGAGATAAATCGTAACTGTATAAGATCTGATTAACAGAGAGATAAATCATAACTGTATAAGATCTGATTAACAGAGAGATAAATCATAACTGTATAAGATCTGATTAACAGAGAGATAAATCGTAACTGTATAAGATCTGATTAACAGAGAGATAAATCGTAACTGTATAAGATCTGATTAACAGAGAGATAAATCGTAACTGTATAAGATCTGATTAACAGAGAAAGAAATCGTAACTGTATAAGATGCCAAGATCTGATTAACAGATGCAGGTCAATGAGTAAACTAGCCAGGTCAGGATTACAGAGGTACACAAAGTCAAAGAACAAACCATGGTCAAACGTCAATCATCAGAAAGAACAATAAGACATCCTAATCGGGAATTAAAAGGAAACCACGACAGGGCACTGGTGGTATGACAGAAATGACAATACATAGGTTTACAGGTTCACCGATTGGTCTATATAATCCCTGTTACCCCAAAGTATGTGGGAACTTGGGGTCCCAGCGATGACACAAACAAGTGCGGACACAACTTTTACTTATACATTAACTTGTGCCGCGAACAAGCGGCATCGACTATGCTGCCTTCAGAGGAATTGTCTGCCTGATCGGAGTGTGCCTCATGGACGAGAAGAGCAGAATGTGCGGCAAGTTGTTATTTTGTGCACCGTGAAGTCCTATGGGTACATTCCTACATGTTAGAGAAACTATTTTTATATTTTAAGTTTATTTCCCACCATGGGACAAGTTGCATTACAGGCTGGTGTAGAAGTACATATGCCAATGGAATGCATTATATGGATGGTAAACATGTTTTTACTAGACTTGTGCTTGTGGTTTCAAACATGTCTAAGTAAGTCAATAAGCCAATGTTGGGCAAATGTCTGAATTCCACAACTCCGAAACGCCATATGGTCTCCAAACAAATGAAACAGACAATGGACAAGATACTTTGTTTATTTTTTTATGATTTGGAGCTCCATCCATAGCGCGAGATTAACTGACTACCTGAGATATTCTTTCTTGCGAGGTCTCTTTAAAACATTACCAAGGCCTTGTAATAAGGCCCCTGTGGGAGGAATAAAGAATTTCAAAGCTAGATTCTTTCCCTAAACTATTCTAGCCGCCCATTTGTCCTGTACATGAAATACATGTTACCCATGCCTCTTGTGTCACTATACCCCACTCCCTCTAGAATGTGTGCTTGTTTGAGCAGGGCCCTTAATCCCCTCTGTTCCTGTGTGTCCAGTTTGTGGTGTTGCAAATGCTGGTCTATTAGTCCGTCCATTGTACAGTGCTGCGGAATTAGTTGGCGTTTTATAAAATTCTAAATAATAATAAAATTTAAAAATATATGTAGCTTCGCATATTTATATATTTTTTTATAATACCCATGACAACCACTAGATGGTAGTAGAAGGAAATATAATTTAATACATGTTTTAGAATATTTCTCAAGCAGTTAGATAAATAATCCTCTTTGACACTTTATAACACAGCTTGTGATTATAATAGAATCTGTAACAATACATGCATGGATACAATCTATTACCATGTTTCTTTCTACTAAACTGTTTGAAGGTACATAAGGCTAAAATAAATTACTGTCTGGTAGTAAAGTTTTGCAGAAACAACGAAGAACAAGAGCGTCACTAAATAAATTGTGCTGGTCGTTTCTTCCATCCAATTGGAATTCTGCAAAATCAGGACCCTGAGGTCTTTGTCATAGAGACTTCCTGTGCTCAATACACTGCTGGATGTTCTACTTGCAAAGCTGTGTGTTTGCAGGTAAGGGGGCAATGCTATGTCCATAAATGTGTGCCACATTATGGTGGTATTTTATGTAAGCATGCCAATGATGGTAGGACTTCCCTCTACCAGAATAGCACTTGATTCATAGATCCAGCAAGCTTCTGGATTCTGATTCATGTTGACATCCGAGCATCACGCAGTTATTGCATGTTTATCAGATACACTTCCATGCTGTAAATCTCAATTTCCACTATAGAAACATAGAATGTGACAGCAGATAAGAACCACTCTGCCAATCTAGTCTGCCCAATTTTCTAAATACTTTCATTGGTCCCTTGCCTTATCTTATAGTTAGGATAGCCTTATGCCTATCCCACGCATGCTTAAACTCCTTTACTGTGTTAACCTCTACCACTTCAGCTGGAAGGCTATTCCATGCATCCACTACCCTCTCAGTAAAGTAATACTTCCTGATATTATTTTTGAACCTTTGTCCCTCTAATTTAAGACTATGCCCTCTTGTTGTGGTAGTATTTCTTCTTTTAAATATAGCCTCCTCCTTTACTGTGTTGATTCCCTTTATGTATTTAAATGTTTCTATCATATCCCCCCTGTCTCGTCTTTCCTCCAAGCTATACATGTTAAGATCCTTTAACCTTTCCTGGTAAGTTTTATCCTGCAATTCATGAACCAGTTTCTTTCCAAACCTTATGAAAGTGGAAACCATTGGCCTATGGCAAACCCATTGTCATGTTAGTGGAGCCAACTTGACATGATGTGTTCTTGATTATGGATTCACATTGTTTACATCAAATTTTCACCCTACCATCTGCGCGTTGCATCGGAAACTGACATTTCCTAGACCAGGCAGTGTTTCCCAGTCTTCCATACAGTTTATTGTACAGCTCTGCCCACATTAGTCTCAGGTCCCTTATCCTTACTACCTCTTGCTCTGGACAGCCATATGATGGTCCAACTTGCGGTGTGTTCAGAGATGCTCTGCCAAGCACTATTACATTTTTTTTTATCACTGTCCATTCAGCTTAAACCAGTCTGACCATTCTCTTCTGACTGTCCTCATTGTCAAGGCATTTTTGCCAATTGAGCTGTCTTGCATTGTTGAATTTAAGTTGTTTGCAACAGTCAAAGTCACTGCATTTCTTCCCCATTGTATATTTTAGCAACAACTTAACCACTTGACTATATCTGTTTTCTTTTCAAAAAAAAGTACATTACCAGTGGCAACAAAGTATTCACCCATCTCTGCACAGCAGTCATTTAAAGGCAAAGGAGAAATTCCTCCAACTTGTAGTTTAGTTGCCATCTTTCAGTTGTAGAAAGCCGAACTCCCAGAAACCCACACAGTGTCATTCACAAAAGTGAGAATTTAACCTGTGTTCAAAGTGAACTCAAAATTTAAACTCAAAATAGCCAAACTGTAAACATTCAGCAACACTTTCTTTTCGGCATATCTGACCTTAAACTGGAAATTCTCTTTGAATTCATACTTCAGTAGATAACCCTGAGTGTCTTCTGAGAATAGTACAAGTACTTGTATGGACAGAGGACAGCACCTATTCCCTACTTCAGTAACAGCTTGAACACTGAATCTATATTGGCAAAACTGAGGCTAAAATAGGCACTCTGAGACTATAGAGGTGTTGGCTATTTTACCAAATTCGTGATTTTTAACCTCAATTTGTTAGATTTAAATTCTGTGGTTATTAAGTAATCATATAAGTTGGTTGTGGTTGGGGATCTCATTGTAAAATATTCTGTACCAGCAACAGGTACAGCACGGCACAATATGTTGGTGCTCGATAAATAATTATAATTATAGTGCTTTGTGTGTTCCTTGGATCAATCAGATTATTATAGAAAGATAACTCCCCACAAAAACCTAATTATCTTAAAAAGGTCTTTGTGGCTCAAATATTAATAATCTATTTTCGATTTTAGCAAAATGTATCTGTTTTTAAATGTTAAAAAGACATAGTCGAATCACTGCTTACACACTGTATTGTTACACATTAGACAAAATTAAATTATAACATCATGTGACATACATTTTCTACTGTTGGAACATGCCATTTAAAAATATTTTATTTAATGAAATGTTTTTTTTTCTCCTCTTTTGGAAATAAAACTTTTATTAATACAATTTTTAAAGTATTTTTAAAATCCTGATATGTTCGTTAAAATGCTTTGACATATAAATATACAGTACTGTAAAGAAAATAGAGTTTAGAATTTTGAGATAAATTCATGTCTATCCAGTTTTTTAGCATTTCTAAAAACATAAAACAAGCACCATTAGCAATGGAATATTGGCGAGTGCTGAATGATTAACACAGGAGTGGCCAATGGAGGCATCGGAGCTCACGCTTCCGTGCAAGTGTCCTCACTCTCAGCCAGCAATACCACCATTGGCTGCGTCTGTGTATTGCATCACTGGAGGTCTATTGCACAAACATAGAAACAAGGTGTCCAGAAATCAATATATTTCAAATTTTTCTTTGATCATTTTTTTTTTGATTGATATAAACATAAAACTCGAGGCTTTACGCTATTGAAATTACAATAATAATATTAATAATAACAATAATAACTTAAAAGAAAATACATTGTTTTAAAATTTTTGGTCCCGTGTTTTTTTACATTGAAATACTTAACAATTAATACAGGCTTGTAAATTGCTCAGACATTAAACCATTGTTAGTTGTAGAAAAATATTTGAATACCTTATTTGAAATGTGAATTTTGGTGAATTAGAACCCAAATTTGCAAACTATAGGCTAAAAAAAGACAAGCTGCAAGTAACCAGTTTAAAAAATTGAGTTACTCATTAAATGTAACTTGTAGAGAGCTACCTAGGGATTTATAAATTTAAATACAAAATAGTTGGGCTGTAAAATTGATTGAGAGGGAAATAAAATTAAAGTCTATAATTTTTGATAAACTAATACAAATAAATAGTTAATTTGCCTCATGTCAAGGTTCTGCAGAATAGTCAGGTATCGTTAATATTGTATGCAGAACAAAAGAACGAGATGTTCTTTTCCAAAATATGACAAAATATGTAAATTTAAACATGGTAAGCAATCTTTATTAGTGTATGGTCATTACTGCTGGTTATTAGAAAGTTAGAGAAACAACTCGCTAAGGGGATTGAGGTTTTTAAAGATTTCTAACAGCATAAATTAAGAAAACACTAGTATTATAAAAGTTTAACTTTACGCAAATGATACATGGGCTATGGTGGTTTATACAATAAATCCCAATATAGGGTGGTACATAAATCAGAACTCTGTTGGATGGGCCTAAACAAAATCTGTGTCACTGGCACACCACTTAATGCCACTCACTAGTCAGCCCCATTAAGGGCTGTTGTACCACTCACCATACCCAGCTACATTAAGGGCTGGTATAGCACTTGCCCTACCCAGCCCAATTAAGGGCTGTTGTAGTATTCTCTGCATGGTCCTAGTTCTTTAGTATAGTGCAAGTATCCAAAATTATGTTCTCACATTAGGCTTTCTGGGGACAGTTCCCTGGTGATCTCAAAAGATCCCTCCAGATTTGGAAAATTGAGGTGCTTGGTTAATACCCCTGGTTCCCAATCCATGGTATGTGTACCCCAGTGGGCACACATTATGGGCATGAGGTATATGGAGGGAGTTGTCTACTTTCCCAAACAAAAAGTATGAATTTATTGATATGTGCAAGGTAAGAAAGACAATTTGAAACCAACTTAAAAAAAGAAAGAACAGATATTATTATAAGAGAGAAAGATAAAGGTAAAAAATATACTCGAGGGGCTTGCAAACAGAATGTTAGCATCAGGAAGTAATATATTTATATATATAATTTATTACTGTCCAGGTGGACACAATACTGATAAAGGCATCTATTTTGAGATGAATTCATAACCTTTCAAATTAGGTTTGACAATGACTAAAATGGGAATTGTCTCCAAATCAAAGTGAGTTTTACATTTTAGGTCAAAATAGCCAATTTGAATTGATGTTCTCCAATTTGACTTATATTAGGCTAAAACGCTCTTTGAAGTGGTTTTCAGTTTTTAGATTTTTCAATTCCAGGCAATTTGCTCTTTAACTCCTGTTAATTAATGTTGTGGCAGTCAGTCTACATTAAATCATTTCATTTTCATTAAAGATCTGTTTTCTTTACAGATTAAAACAGCTGCATAGCCGGAGATCAGAGATTTTAGTTAAATATTTTGCTTGCTTGTATTGATTTGCAGTTAGATTTTTCAAAGTGTTTATGTTTTATAGCAAGTACTGTTTTGGAGGTCGGTTTGATTTACTAAATAGCGAGTTCACAACCAATTCCCACAATTCTTGTGAGACAGAGACTGCGGAATAAATATCTGCTGAATCTTTTTACAGATCACATATTCTAACCCAAAAGCTAGTAGTCAGATTTCAAGTCACCTTCGCACATTGCTTGGCAAATAAACCTGCAGTGACCGGCTAGAATTGCTACTGCAGATGTTTCTGTACTACATTTCCCCTGATGCACTACCTGTGAAAGGAATTTCCAGGCATCGTGGGTAATGTAGTCCACACACTTGTTACATGAAAAGCCTTGCAAGTTGCTATTACAGGATAAAAGGAAATGTTTTAGGAACACAATAATGAAGAAATAAAAATGTGCTACATCCTTAAAATGTGCTAAAAAATAATCTCTTACAACATCTAAGCAATTAACCTTCATAAACATTTCGAATTTCATGTATTTAGAATATGAGAAGTTAATTGTAAGGTTATCTTTGTTTAGACCATATTTTCCTACACCTATACGTTTTAATCCACGTGTGAGTTCGGATACAATGTAATCCATTTCACATATACACTAGGCTAGACTAGACTTGATTAAAAAAATAAAATATGTATTTATTTATTTATTTTTGGTCAGGCAGGGCATTTAAGCTTGCACACATCCAAGGTTCAAACCATAGGTGTTAAAGTAAAAAAACAAACAAACAAAAACTAAAAAATATATTCCTATAAACCAGCATGATTTACCAGGTATGATTTTAAAATCACACTAAACAGATTATTCTCGGATGTTTATCCAACACATTGTTTAAAGCTAACATTTCATTGTTCTTTATTTTTGAAGGGGTATTTATTACAGGGTTACGATTTTGTTTTATATATTTTCTTTGTGTTTGGCATCTTATTTGCTGTATTTATAGGAGCATGTTTGCACGCTAAAAGACATACTTTTTATGATTATTTATAAATATAGTCTCCAAAAAGAAAGCCAGCACTCAAGGACATCAATGTGAAAAAATATGCATTTAATCCAAGTGGTCAACGTTTCAGTTCACAACTGTGAACTTTCCTCAGGACACACTCAGGGAGAGACAGAGACTGCGGAAAGTTGTCCTGAGGAAAGTTCACAGTTGTGAACTGAAACGTTGACCACTTGGATTAAATGCCTATTTTTTCACATTGAAGTCCTTGAGTGCTGGCTTTCTGTTTGGAGACTGTAATTGTGTGCAGCTGAGCACCGGGCCAAGATTTGGAAAAGAATGTATTTATAAATATATTCTTTGTTTTCTATGGTTTTATTTTTTTCAATGATTTAACATTATTACGGGGTTCCAAACAGAGAAATCCAAAATATAATGTGATTGAAAGGCATGAGTATTTCCAACGTGGTGGAATATGGTAAAACCTATGGTTTCTTGTTTGTAATTTTCATAAGAGCTTGAAGTAATCTATCATCTCTGTGTCTGTAAGGTCTGGCACTATAGAAGCGGTCAAGGTAGTCATTATACATGTGACTGTCCGAGTCCTTCCCACTCGACTGTTTGCTTATTTTATCCAGTGCGTGATAATAATGGGATTTGGGAATAGCAGCTTCTTCTGATGAGACTGGAAACGTTCCTCCGTCAAACGCATTTTGCAAGAGACGGAGCATTGCCCGTGATTTCGCTAATTCCTCCATTTCAGCCATCTCTTTACTATCTGGGATATTTTTCGTTGTGGCGGGCTGTTCAGTTACAGCATCCTGAAAAATTAAATAACACAGCTTGGATTATAAGCAAAATTAATAACATATCAGTCGGACAAATGTTTGGAGATATGCAAATTCACTTTTGTGCTATAATGTAACCATTTCTTTGTTATAATTAAAGAAACGCTATAGCATTAGGAATACAAACCAGCTGTTCAGCTCCCCAACTCCCCCAGGAGCACTGGGGACCTAACGAGCATGCGAAGCAAGCGATCATTTAAACTTCCCCATAGGAAAGCATTCAGTCAATGCTTTCCCATGGTGGCTTCTGTGTCACATGACCGAGTTTTACTGGGTCAGCACAACGGAAGCACGTCTAGTGCCTGTTATACCGATAGCCACTAGAGGTGGACTTAACCCTACAATGTAAACATTAAAGTTTATAAAAACTGTATTGGTTTATATTGCTAGGTTAAAAGGACAGGACCACAGCAATTAGACCATTTCATGGAGATTAAGTCTTCGGAGCGACTATAGTGGTCTTTTAAGTACACATTTATCTTTAAAAAAAAAAAGAATGCCTTTTGCCCTTGGTTTTATTCACTAAAACAAGAAATTGAAGAGAATTGACCAAGGAACTACATATTTTAGGTAAACTTATCAGAACTGGAAAAATTAATGACTTGGAGAATTTTGACCTAAACTTTTCAACTTGTTGGTCAGTTTTCCATAAGTCTCGATTTTATTTACATTTTATTTATTTATTCAAAGCTCACCTTTCCAATGTCCACCATCTTCTCCACACCTCTTCGATCATTTTGAACAACGTTGTAGGAGGTATAGACTCTGGGTTGGGTCATGTGGTCCGGTCTGGTGGACGTTCCATGCAGAATCAGTTTCCAATTAACAATTCTTCCTTCATTTTGCATTCTTCCAGACTGGAACATGGAAGAGTGAGTAGATTATAATAACTATTACACGTAACTATATAGTGATTATTAATGCCCTATACGTAGCAAACATGTTTAAAGGTCTTAAAATTAAACATAAAATTCTATATTTGTTTATTAGAATTCCATCTTAGCTTCCTGTCAATCACTGTCATTAATGTTGTCCTTTTTCTGTCATTAAACATAATGAGTGGAAAAGGAGAAACATGAGCAATGTTTCTTTCTTCTTCTCATTTGCATATTGTGCCCTGGCTGTGCCCAGACTAAACTATGTTGTGATGTCACTTGCTAAATGTTTAATATTTCTCTTTTAAAATATGCCTGTAATCCTGCAAACAGCCAGTAGATGGTTGCACCAATCTCTACTGTTTTAACAAAGAAACCCTTTCGTGGTGGTCTTTAATACCGAGTAGGGGGCTGCTGAATGTGTTCCCCTTGTGTGGTAATTAAAGAGAAATCAATTGAGCTGTCAGATCACACACCAACTGAAATCAATCATATTATAAAAGCTCAAATTGTAATCTATTCATTTTAAATCAACAAATTATAGTTCAAAAATTGTGAATATTTTAAAATATTTTTAGCAGCCTCTATATTCCCAGCACAGGGAATGCTGATGGATCAGTGTCATATCGGAATGCTATTAATGCAAATTATTGCATTATTGTGTGTGCAAGCAAACCAAACATCTTAATAGCCAATCAGTATGAAGCAAGTAGCCATCAGCAGCTATGGGATAAAGTTTGGTCATTTTTACGTCACCAGCCATTGTGGAATTACCCCATTTCACTCAGTGAGTGGAATCAGGTGTCTAAGCATCCAATGCAAAAGCCCAAATTTTAATTCTAACCGCTCTGCCATCTGAGGGCAATGATATCAAAACAATATATCAAAATGATCTGGTATTTAATATTTAATTTTGTAACATTATTTTGGTGCTATGTATTTACATGTATATTAGCAGTTCAGGTGGACCTCTTGAGATCTTATTTCCTTGAACAGAGAAGAGTAAAATATCTTACCACATCAGTGATTTTCAGAGTCCATGTTCCTACGGGATCCTCACCCCAGGTGTGGACAGACATGAAGTCCCAGTTCTTGAAGCCATTAGAAGACATGTCTCGTTCTCTCTCTGTAAGAAGGACTGTGCTCGTCCCTGTGAAAAAAAAAAATCATGTGTTTTTATTTCTTCAAAAATAATTTTCTCCAAACCCACAGTCACTGCCCACTCTAGATGCCAACAGAAAGGTAAACAAAGGGGAGGGTAGAGGGCCTCTTCCTTTTTATTATTTTATATACTTTATCGATAATATTTCACTACTGAGCAAGACATATTGGCAATATTTTTCATTTATAGCACCTTACAGCACCCACTAACCCAAAGACCATATCTGTTAAAATGTTATAAACATTCTACTGCATTGCCAGAGCAGAACATCCACAAAGATGTGGGCAACATTAATCACAGCTTGTAAGAGTAGCTTCGGCATTCTTTATTTATAGATATATCGCACACAAAACCAGCAGCCAATTAGAAAATATAGAGAGATGCCCATCCAATTATATAAAACAATGGTAGCCCAAAGACTGTGTTTTCTCCTACCTGATGGTGATGTCAGGGTGATGTGAAGATCTCCACGACGAGTATACTCTATAGTGGCCTCCAGCTGCAGGTGCTCCAGAGACTTTACGTAATTATCCTGACCTTCACATGCTTTTGTGGGTATTTCTATTGTGATCTCCCCTTCTGATCTTAAAAACCTGTAAATAAAGAGATGAAACTTTGTATCTTGTACTCTTGCCTGCAAGACTTTTCAACGGTTGTCCGCTCCCTATGGAATTCCCTCCCGCAACACATTTGACGCTCCCCATCTCCGCATTCCTTCTAAATATCCACAAAAGTGGACTTCGTTAGGGACGTATATTTGCTGACCCCTTAACTCCTCATCCCTTACAACGTTTCTCTGCTGTTCCCCATCTACTGGGCTGCCTCTTCTCAGACACCCCATGCTTATATCCAGATGACTTCACTTTCTCACTTTTAACGTTACATTGTTTCCTATTTAGATTACAGGGCCTCCCATTTTATAACAAAATATAAAACAGAGAGCTAAATAAATCTACTAAACAGTTGAAAGATCAAATTGAAGAAAAGAGGGAGAAATTGTAATTTGATTAATTTCAATCACAATTTATTGGACAAATTTGGATGTGCTGAAACGCCCAATGGGTGAAATTCAGTTTGTCTGAACCAAAATTTATTTTCGTACAAATTGATTCAGACAAACCACATTTTTTGGCAGTGCACCAATCTAAAATTTACTTTACATTCTCAACAATTAGCACTAGATGCATGGCATCGGACAGAAATGGAAATGTTTTATGTTGTTTGAAAAAAAAAAGGAGAGAATATACGCACCAACACCACTTCATTAAAATGTAGTGTTTTGGTGTTTAGAGCGCCCGTTTAAGTACAGAATCACACTTTTTGAAAAACAATGAACAGAAGAGTCAATATAGTTCCTGTTACTTGTCCTGTCACTTTTATTGTAGTGACTACAAACATAATACAAACGACTCTTTGGCATTTTAATTTGTCTTTAGTAAAAGGGATTTTCTGCAATTAGTGTTTACATAATTTTAGATGCAAAATAGAATAGCGAAGTTGAAAAAAATAGTCAAAGTAAGATACTTTTAATTTTTTTTCTCCTATCTGGCTGTCCTAGACTATTTTGAATGTATATGTGTAAGTAAATCTAACAAACATTTGAAGTTAGTAGAGCAAGTATAATGTTTTACCCATTTTTTGCCACTAGAGGGGGTAAGCATACTGATGAATGATGAGTTTATTTTGTGACAAACTCTTTTAGAGTGGAATCATAAAGCTCCCTGATTGCATTTATTCTGTGACAGTTGTGTTTTGTTTTACCAATGCTGATTAATTGAACTTAATAACATGGGGGTGTTGACATATAATTAAGTATTTTGTTATACTATTAATATGTTTTTCTGTATCTGCAACTTGTTAAAGATGCAGTAATGTTTCAGCTTGAGTTCAATTTGTATAAAATTACATATTTAATTATATTTATGTTGTGGAACAAGCAGAGTTTGATATTTATTTTCCTAGACGAGATGTTGTGGCTGAAGGTACAGTTTATGTCAGGATATTTTAAGAGTCTTCATGCTCTACTAATAACATTTTCTGCAAATGAAAATGTAATTTAGAACCAGATCATATTTTCTCTTTAACACAGAATGGTTTCTAAACAGATTTATTGTTTTTTTACTGTGAGTTTTATTGCTATGAATTTGCATTATACACACATACAGTGAGGTAAAAAAGTATTTGATCCCCTGCTGATTTTGAACGTTTGTCCACTGACAAAGAAATGATTGATATATAATTTTAATGGTAGGTGTATTTTAACAGTGAGTGACAGAATAACAACAACAACAAAAATGCAGAAAAACGCATGTCAAAAAAGTTATAAAATGATTTGCATGTCAATGTGTGAAAAGGGTATTTGATCTTCTATCAATCAGCAAGATTTCTGGCTCCCAGGTGTCTTTTATACAGGTAACGAGCTGAGATTAGGAGCATTCTCTTAGAGGGAGTGCTCCTAATCTCAGCTTGTTACCTGTATAAAAGACACCTGTCCACAGAAGCAATCAATACATTAGGTTCCAAACTCTCCACCATGGTCAAGACCAAAGAGCTGTCCAAGGATGTCAGGAACAAGATTGTAGACCTACACAAGGCTGGAATGGGCTACTACACCATCGCCAAGCAGCTTGGTGAGAAGGTGACAACAGTTGGTGTGATTATTCGCAAGTGGAAGAAACACAAAATAACTGAAGGATTGAAATCCTGCAGCGCCCGCAAGGTCCCTCTGCTCAAGAAAGCACATGTACAGGCCCGTCTGAAATTTGCCAATGAACATCTCAATGATTCAGAGGAGAACTGGATGAAAGTGTTGTGGTCAGATGAGACCAAAATCAAGCTCTTTGGCATCAACTCAACTCGCTGTGTTTGGAGGAGAAGGAATGCTGCCTATGACCCCAAGAACACCATCCTCATCGTCAAACATGGAGGTAGAAACATTATGCTTTGCGGGTGTTTTTCTGCAACGCATCAAAGGGACGATGGACGGGACCAAATCTTTGGTGAGAACCTCCTTCCCTCAGTAAGGTCATTGAAAATTGGTCGTGGATGGGTATTCCAGCATGACAATGACCCAAAACACACAGTCAATGCAACCAAGGAGTGGCTCAAGAAGAAGCTCATTAAGGTCCCTGACTGGCCTAGCCAGTCTCCAGACCTTAATCCCATAGAAAATCTGTGGAGGGAGCTGAAGGTTTGAGTTGCCAAACATCAGCCTCCAAACCTCAATGACTTGGAGAGGATCTGCAAAAAGGAGTGGAACAAAATCCCTCCTGACATGTGTGCAAACCTGGTGGCCAACTACAAGAAACGTCTGACCTCTGTGATTGCCAACAAAGGTTTTTCCACCAAGTACTAAGTCGAAGGGGTCAAATACTTATTTCACTCATTGACATGCAAATTAATTTATAACTTTTTTGACATGCGTTTTTCTGGAGGGGGGGGGAGAGGGATATTCTGTCTCTCACTATTAAAATACACCTACCATTAAAATTATAGACTGACCATTTCTTTGTCAGTGTGCAAACATTCAGAATCTGCAGGGGATCAAATACTTTTACCCCTCACTGTAACACATTTGAAACTCATAGAATAATTTAGCTGGAAACAAAATTCACAGTATTGGATTCCAATACAGGGACTGATTAAAGTAATTCAGAGCTATAGGATTCTCATCTTTATTGTCATTCTGAGTATGTTGTGAATTTTATCTTAGAACACTATTAAGACATACTGAATAAAGCTTTTAATAATTTTACATGTGTTATTTAATTTTTTTTTCTTGCAGTTTTTTGTATTAACAAAGGGTCAACTAGCAAGTCCTCTTCTCGTTACATACCTATTTGTTACATACAATGAATCTTGTAACATTTTCTTAAAATTTTGAGAACAAATTGTTTATTTTCTCAAAATTACACAATTTTAAAATGTTTTTAAAAAATAAAATGAATGAATGCGTCTTGGAATGTATTTGTGAATTTATGTTGGTTTAAGGAGCTATGTTATCGAATCTTACCTTGGGGTAAAGTCGCTGTCTTTCACAACACACTCCTTCTTGTCAGGGACTCCTTTCCATGTCTTCGGATCTGCTAGATCAACCAAAGCTTTAGCATTGAGAAGGCCGAATCCAAATCTACTGTTAACCATTAAACCAGCTCCATTCTTTTTCCAGCCTGGGTTATTAGCCAGTGGGTCATACTCAGAGGTCCAAACCACCAGGTGCTGCATGTCTCTCCAGGTAAGGTTAGGACTGGTAAATAAAATAACAGATATGGTTATATTACTACAGTATTGGGGAATTCACTAAACTGAGTTATTTCAGTTATTCATTTATTTAATTTAGTTATTTACGCTTCACATTTGCAATTCAGCTAGAATCTTACAACGGCTCCCTGTGAATAGACTCGTGAAAATATAAATTTTCAAGAACTTTTGATGTTTTAGTAACAGTGTGATAAGCCCTTCACTTCCAGATTTTTTTCCTTTATAAAACCAAAAAACTGAACTTGCGTAGTGTACTCAGTTTACTCTGACTCTTGAAAGAAGCTCTGTAGTTTTGCTATGCTAGAGATCAAAGGAATAGATTACGTAATTATTTACAGTCCTTCTGCAGTGATGCAGAGTGACGGAATTGACCTGGGGCAGAAAAATCTGTTTCTCTGCAAGTTGAAGACCATCGCTCAAGCAAAATACTTTACGATGCATTAGGGCTACATTTTTAAATGATCTTCCATATATATATATATAAACAGTTTTATCTCAAAACTAACTATTTATAGATATGTAAAAGTTACCATAACTTTGTACAATATAATGTTTTCCTGGACAAATCTCTACTTTAATCTAATTTTTACAAAGAACCATTTAGAGACTGAACACTTTCCGGTTTAATTCCATTTGAATTTAAAGTAAGTGTTCTAGGCTCAATTACTCAAAGACTGAACAAAAAAGGATAATAGTGGCTGTCAGACACATGTTTGAACTGTAGTTAATCTAAGCAGTATTTGCAGAGTTGAAGATAAGGAAAAGACATAAATAACATATGGAGTTGCTCTTCCGTTTAGGTAAACAAACAGCTAATTATGGGCTTGTTTCTGTGTTTGTCATTAGAAGGCATTGTTAATGCAGCTAAGGAATAGCCGTGGTCGATAATTGTGTCTTGTGTTTGCACAATAACATTCATCCACTTCCAGCACCGAGCGTTTACTGCATTGGAGATTAAATATACATTGAGAAACATGTGCGTTTTCAAATTCATTCCCATTGCAAATCAACCAGGACACCAAAAAATAAAAGTTGTGAATGCACACTTCACCTGCGATAATTTCAGCATATTGCCCTTAGTGTTTCTATAAACCTGACTTGTTAGATTTCACAGGTGATTATTGAAAATTATGTGTACAGTTTTTATAGCTAGGCTTTATGGCTAAAATGTACTTAAAGGGACACTGTAGGCACCCAGACCACTTCAGCTCATTGAAGTGGTCTGGGTGCCAACTCCCACCACCCTTAACCCTGCAAGTGTAATTATTTATTAGTTTTTTAAACTGTAATATTTACCTTGCAGGGTTAAGTCCTGGTAGACAGCCACTAGAGGGACTTCCAGCTTCTTAGACGACTTTTGGTCGTCTAAACGATGCTGGACGTCCTCACGCTATGCACGAGGCCCTCCGGGGTTGCCGGAATCCCCATAGGAAAGTATATAATAAGTGAATAATGCTTTCCTATGGAGAGGTCTAACGCGCACTGCCATTGCCGCGCATGCGCATTAGGTTTCCCCCGCCGGCGGATGTCGACGGGGGAGGAGCGTGGGCGGAGCCTGACCCAGTGCCGAGGTACATCGAAACTGGACTCAGGTAAGTGTCTGAATGGGTTTTAACCCCTTCAGCGACTTGGGATGGGGGATGAGGACCTCCAGGATTCTGCAGTGCCAGGAAAACGTGTTTGTTTTCCTGGCACTGGAGAATCCCTTTAAAGGGTTACTCCAATTCTTTTAAATGTTTTATTTAAATTAATGAAAAATTGCCCTATTGGGCATTATTATTTAGGTCCCCCTTCCCTATCGCTAGAAAATAGATTCACATTTAATCTTTACTCGCCTGGCTTTATGATGTCACGGCAGAAATGATCGGTCCAATCACAGGTTTTTAATAGAGAGAAGCCTGTGATTGGACCATTTAACTTGCTCAGAGCGCATGTTCTGATTGGGAGACGGGGAGGGCTGCACAGAACACGAGAGGCTTTGTGTAATTTTGTGCTAGAGTATTTTATGCATAGAATTGACATTTGTTAGCCTGGAACTAAGTTAACTAGCCCCTGGCACAAAAGTGTCAAAGTCTCAGTATGTGCGTTGCTCCAAGCTGAAGTACTGCGCATACTGACTCCTACCACCATGACCACTTCTAAAAGCAGACGTTGTTATGGTGGTTGGAGTAACCTTTAAATATAGAGGATGCATTGAGCATTTGCAGTCATAAACGTTTCCTCTTTACATCCTGATGAGGCATGTTCCGTTTTAAGTCAGAAATCATCAGGTGGCAATTCTTATCATCTGCCATTGGAGCCAGGTGTTACATAGCATTTAGAATGTTTCATTAGTCTCTGTGGGAGATTTTAAAACATTAACAGTTACATTGTTTCTTAACACAGAAACAACCATTATTCGCATGCAATAGAGACAGCCATTTAGCGTTCAACAACTGTCAAAAAAGGAACAAGCATGTTCCCCTAGAGGACTTATTTTGTCTTTTTTTTTTTAATTCTTTTTTTTTTAAAGTGCATTGATAATTACAAATGTCAGTAATACCAAAGGATGTTACAGTTGTAGATAATTGGTGACATTTTGGTGACAGGTTCAAGATGCGCTGCACTTTAAAAAAAAATTTTTTTAATAAGAAATTCAAGAGTAAACAAAGACAGGCGTGGTAAAGTAAAAGTAACAGTCAGGCTATACATGCTGCCTAAAACACTTTAGCTATAGCTCATATTACTATAGTTGGTCATATATTGCTAGCGGTCAATAGTGTTACAAACAGGCTAGTCATGTCCCACGAGCAGGTAACATGTCAGCAGAGCTTATAATGCATATAAACAGGGTGAGGGCACTTAATGAGGCTTGCACAATTTAAATGATTAGTTACTCATGGGTTAACTGTTGCTAGGGTATGTTAGTTTGCGTTTACCATTGCTATTGCCTACAGGGAGTGCAGAATTATTAGGCAAGTTGTATTTTTGAGGATTAATTTTATTATTGAACAACAACCATGTTCTCAATGAACCCAAAAAACTCATTAATATCAAAGCTGAATATTTTTGGAAGTAGTTTTTAGTTTGTTTTTAGTTTTAGCTATGTTAGGGGGATATCTGTGTGTGCAGGTGACTATTACTGTGCATAATTATTAGGCAACTTAACAAAAAACAAATATATACCCATTTCAATTATTTATTATTACCAGTGAAACCAATATAACATCTCAACATTCACAAATATACATTTCTGACATTCAAAAACAAAACAAAAACAAATCAGTGACCAATATAGCCACCTTTCTTTGCAAGGACACTCAAAAGCCTGCCATCCATGGATTCTGTCAGTGTATTGATCTGTTCACCATCAACATTGCGTGCAGCAGCAACCACAGCCTCCCAGACACTGTTCAGAGAGGTGTACTGTTTTCCCTCCTTGTAAATCTCACATTTGATGATGGACCACAGGTTCTCAATGGGGTTCAGATCAGGTGAACAAGGAGGCCATGTCATTAGATTTTCTTCTTTTATACCCTTTCTTGCCAGCCACGCTGTGGAGTACTTGGACGCGTGTGATGGAGCATTGTCCTGCATGAAAATCATGTTTTTCTTGAAGGATGCAGACTTCTTCCTGTACCACTGCTTGAAGAAGGTGTCTTCCAGGAACTGGCAGTAGGACTGGGAGTTGAGCTTGACTCCATCCTCAACCCGAAAAGGCCCCACAAGCTCATCTTTGATGATACCAGCCCAAACCAGTACTCCACCTCCACCTTGCTGGCGTCTGAGTTGGACTGGAGCTCTCTGCCCTTTACCAATCCAGCCACGGGCCCATCCATCTGGCCCATCAAGACTCACTCTCATTTCATCAGTCCATAAAACCTTAGAAAAATCAGTCTTGAGATATTTCTTGGCCCAGTCTTGACGTTTCAGCTTGTGTGTCTTGTCAGTGGTGGTCGTCTTTCAGCCTTTCTTACCTTGGCCATGTCTCTGAGTATTGCACACCTTGTGCTTTTGGGCACTCCAGTGATGTTGCAGCTCTGAAATATGGCCAAACTGGTGGCAAGTGGCATCGTGGCAGCTGCACGCTTGACTTTTCTCAGTTCATGGGCAGTTATTTTGCGCCTTGGTTTTTCCACACGCTTCTTGCGACCCTGTTGACTATTTTGAATGAAACGCTTGATTGTTCGATGATCACGCTTCAGAAGCTTTGCAATTTTAAGAGTGCTGCATCCCTCTGCAAGATATCTCACTATTTTTGACTTTTCTGAGCCTGTCAAGTCCTTCTTTTGACCCATTTTGCCAAAGGAAAGGAAGTTGCCTAATAATTATGCACACCTGATATAGGGTGTTGATGTCATTAGACCACACCCCTTCTCATTACAGAGATGCACATCACCTAATATGCTTAATTGGTAGTAGGCTTTCGAGCCTATACAGCTTGGAGTAAGACAACATGCATAAAGAGGATGATGTGGTCAAAATACTAATTTGCCTAATAATTCTGCACTCCCTGTATTTAGTTTAATATACACTTAGAGTCTTGAGAGCACTCGCTTATACTGTGGGGACACCCTAACACCTCAGTGGCTTGCAGTTGAGTAGTCATACTCCCTGGAGGGGTATTAGGCAGGCTTTGCACCCTCGGTGGGGTTAGAGCTGTTCCTTCAAGTTGCCTCTGCCTGGGTTCTTTAGGATGGGTACGTAATGATGGTAAGTCCCCCTGCGATACAGGGTTTGCCTCAGCCGCTGTCCTCCAGCTGTTTGATGTCCCTTCCCTGTTGTCTGGCTGTTAGGTGTCGCTGTGCCGTTGTGGAGGCGTTGCGGGCCTGATCCTCGGGACGGAGCGATGGTGTGTGCTCTGTGCCAGTCGTCTGGGCAGGCCCGAGGGGTTATCTGTTGGGTCTGAGTGGCTTGGTCTACGCTTCGCGTATCAGCTTGGAGCCGCTCCAGCCTTTTCGCCTGGTATGGGCTCTGGGCCTTGGTAACATCAGCCATGCAGCTGCTGAGGCTTTATATGAATGCGTGGTGGTCTGCCCCATACAGGTTTGCAGGGCTTGCGTTGGTTACATGGGGGGCCTGGTCCGCTCAGCTGAGGGAGTCTGGCTGGATATCATCGGGCAGGATAGCAGGGGGCGGCAATCCGCCTCACTAACCGCCTGAGTAGGCCTCATCCCAGAAGTAGCGATGCATATCTCTCCGGGGGACTAAAACATGGGATGCAAGCCTCTCCCCGGTTCCAGTGTCTCCTCATGTGCCGGCCCACCGCGGGAGGTTGTCAGGTAGGTCTAAAAGTTCCTTATTGTAGGGTTTTAGGTCGAAGTTTGCTGGAGCTGTTGTGCCATGCGCCTGGCCAGCATGGCGGTCAGGCCCTGCCCCCCCCTATTTTGTCTTTTTTAGGATAGCCTGTTTGGTAATTCAATTTAAATTTTAAATTTACATTTTAAAAAATACATTTTAAATTGTAGCCCAAAACAGCCAATTTAGTTATTTTGAGTAAAAATTTGAAATTAGTTATGAAATCACTTTGAATTCACAATAATTTATATTTACATAACAGGATTTAATTTACTAATTAGTGAATCGGTAAAGTTGATTTTCAAGCTACAGATACCACCGGGGATATTCAAAGTGTTCTGGAAAGTGACGGCTAGATTCCGTCTTTTTTTTTCTTCTATTTTTTTTTTTTTATTAAAGGAACAGTATAGTCACCTAAATTACTTTGGCTAAATAAAGCAGTTTTAGTGTATAGATCATTCCCCTGCAATTTCACTGCTCAATTCACTGTCATTTTGTTTCTGTTTATGCAGCCCTAGCCACACCTCCCCTGGCTATGATTGACAGAGCCTGCATGAAAAAAAAAACTGGTTTCACTTTCAAACAGATGTAATTTACCTTAAATAATTGTATCTCAATCTCTAAATTGAACTTTAATCACATACAGGAGGCTCTTGCAGGGTCTAGCAAGCCATTAACATAGCAGGGGATAAGAAAATCTTAATTAAACAGAACTTGCAATAAAGAAAGCCTAAATAGGGCTCTCTTTAAAGGAAGTGTTTATGGAAGGCTGTGCAAGTCACATGCAGGGAGGTGTGACTAGGGTTCATAAACAAAGGGATTTAACTCCTAAATGGCAGAGGATTGGGCAGTGAGGCTGCAGGGGCATGTTCTATACACCAAAACTGCTTCATTAAGCTAAAGTTGTTCAGGTGACTATAATGTCCCTTTAAGGGTCAGATAAGAAACAAATCCCATTGTGTCTCACAATGTAAAAATAAACAGAATTGATCGTTTGAGATAAAAAAGACAACTAAAAGCCATACAATTGCAAGTTAGGACAGACTTATGGTTTAAGTTGTATTAAACCAAACCAATTCAATTCTGTCATTATTCTAATTGTGTTTATAAACATGTTATTAAAGCGAGTTTTCTGTATGGTAAATTCCGACAGTTTTCTTTTCAATAGACCACCAGATTAAGAGCGGCTAAATAAAAGAGAAGTTATGCAGAACACTTTTGTTTCTGAAAATGTGGTCGAAAGGATAATAAATCCATGTTAAAATTAGTGTAGGACCCACAGATTTTGGGGTACTGTGAAGTAGTTGTGGGTTTAATGCCATATTGCCATATGGTGGAACTGAATCCCCATATTTGTTATCTGAGATGGGTGATATTAAGTAACCTTATAAAATTTAAAACTGTATTTTTTTTTTGTCTGTGCACTGTTCCCTAATCTTTAAGAAATCCCTTACTTTTTAAAAAATCCACTACGTCACCGTATATGGAAAAATAACAGGACGCAAAATCAGTAACAGATTTTAAAAAATCTGACAGGCTCATTAAATTGCAATAAAAACGTGCTGAACATTGTATGAAAATGTGTCATTGACACTTTGATAAATCTCCCCCACTGTTTAGTGACCAGATTCACTGCCTCAAAAACATTCCTGATAATTAAATTATTGCAACATGTGTTATTCTAACACACACACACACAAATCTAAAGGATGGGGAGAAAATTTAAAGGACCACTAATCTCACCTAGACCACTTAATCTCAATGTAGTGATCTGTGAGCAGTGGTCATTGTAACCCTTCCATGTAAAACATTGCCGTTTTTACTGTGTAAGTATTAAACTTGCATTTTTTACCAGCAAAATGGAGGTGGACTAATGGGGGATCATTAGAAGGAACCTATAGTCCAGAAAAAACAACTGTGTTTTCCTGGGACTATAGGTTCCCTTTAATTTCTGCACATGAGCAAAAATATCAGCAAAATGAATTGCCTTATTTCTGAGTTAAAAACTTGTTTCTTTATTTTATTCTCTAAACCAGGGTTCTCCAAACTCTGACCCTACAGATGATGCTAAACTACAACTCCCATGATTCTCTGGTTCTCTATTTCATTCAAAGAATCATGGGAGCCGTAGTTCAGCAACATCTGGAGGAACAGCACTCTGAGAACCCTGCCTTAAACCGTAGCTGTGAATGCATAATCAGGGTTATTCTCTAAAGTGAGAATTCTAAGTGGATCCAAAGTGAATTTTATATTTAAGGTCAAAGTAATTCCAAAATAGAAATGTTCTCAGCTATGCTCCCATTTCCACTTCTCTGGCCTTAAATTTGAAATTGACTTTAAATTCACTTAGAATTCTCACTTCAGTGAATAACCTTTTAGGTCCCTTCCTACTTCTAAATACCCCATGCATCTTTGGAATGGGTATTTTAAAAATAATAATAATAATAATAATATATTAAGATGTTTTGATGAATTCCCTGATAGTAGATCAATGTGGCCAGGCACCTTTTCACAGCGTAACTGTTTAAGTTGAAATATTATACCAAACCAAATAGAAATTCCAGATTTGAACAACAATTTACTCAGATTTATGAATTAGTTACATGTTGGAAGGCCAAAGTGATCATAACTGCTTTGTAACAGACGTTGGCTGCTATAAGTGTCTTTAAATGTTTTGAGTAAATAGCCAACTTTCTCCGCAGGTTGTGTACTTCACCCAACATGGAACTCAACGTTTTGACAACAGATCTCTTCGATAATAGATAATGAGATATATGGACAAGGGATGAATAGTTATTGTAAGGAATATTGTATTTTCATAAGAAACTTAAAGAATGCTTATAATATGGTGTTGGGTTACATTAATTATTGTACAAAAATATCGTTCACAAAAAATCCTTACTTATATTCAAGTGCAAGAGCAAAGATCCCAGCAGCCAGCGGAGCTGAGGCTGACGTCCCCGTATGTGTTTCTGTGCAATCATTATGTAGGTCGGCACTTATCTGAAATGGTACATGGTGGGTATTATAATAAAAATCAGTTGAATCACAGTTAATGCCTAATTGTATTGTTTATGGTCCATGGTAAACATGTAACAGGTATGTAAATTATGCTTACTGAAATAGTAATATTAGCGGGATTAGCTGGATTTAAAGCAACACAATGAGATTAACTGAGTGAATCACTAAAGTGAGGATTCAAGGTGAATTCAAAGTTAATTTCAAGGTCAAAACAGCCCAAACGTCTCTAAATCATCTGTACTTTCAGTTCGGCTAATCTGGCCCTAAATTTGAAAATTACTTTGAATTCACCTTAGACTCTCACTTTATTAAATAATGCTGTAAATATAACTAGTAAAAACAGGCAATAATTCAAAAAGTATATTTAACTATCAAAGTTATAATAAGAGAGTCCTTGGAAAACTGTACTTCATGCTATAACTATACATATTGTCATAGCACCACCTACTGTCCAGTTAGTCAAACATTCATATTATATATTGTGAATAAAATTACCTTTAACAGTAACTATATATAGCATGTGCCCTCAATGACATCCTATAAAGTGGGAGAAATCTCAACATATCCTTCCTGGCAAAACATATACATATACATATACATTTCATTTGATCTTTAATATTATTGTCTCTCAGAAAAGAGCAAATAGAGAGATTAGGGAACAAGCAAAAATGTGTGTGATGGGTTTTTAGATAACACGCTTTGTTGGAGTGCACAGCGAAGCAAACCACGGTCTAATGAACAGATAAATAAATTGGGGTAACTCTATAATCATAACAGAGGTCAAGGGGATAGTTTATATTTCTGTTACAGGATCGGCAGGTTTTCATCCCATAATGGAAATATTTTAAAAAAATTTTTTTACAAAAAAAGACATTGACCAATAAATAATTTTTTTGCATTTTTTCCTGTTAGGAATGTATTAATCAAATTGCAAGTAGTTAGCACATTTCACTGTGTAGAAATATATTTACAAAATAGCACTGTTTTACCAGGCAGGCTAATCAAATGATAGACATCCATTCTTAATGACAGAGCTCTTAAATTTATTATAGTGATTTCCAAAGGAGAAATAAGATGGAAGAATCGTAGTGGGAGATTTTTTTATACATAGTACAAGGTTAGGAATTTTGTATTGGAGTTGGTTAGTAAATGGTTAGTAACTGCCTCCCATTGTCCAAAGTGGGAATTACGGCGAATTGAGGAGGAAATTGCCCATTTTACAAAGAAACAATAATATAAGTAATATAGCTCTCAAAAGGACGACATTATTTTTCTTAAAGAGTAGAAAATGCATCTATTTTTAGTGAAAATATATAAAATCCAAAGATAATATAACAGGGAGAAAAAATACATTAAATTATTATTTGGAAACCCTACCAAGCCAACTACTCTATTCGATTACTTTAGAATTGTATTAGACAAATCCTGGAAGTACGAACATACCAGGAGACTACCTTACAATTCCCGGTGCCACTGTCCCCACATTGGTTAATCTTTGGTATTTTCCTTGGCATTGCCCCGAGACACTCTAAATTCAATAAAATGGTATTAGCACCTTCATACTCGGATTTTACCTGACAAGCCAGCGTTAAGACCATGCAGAACTAAATTAGAATTTGTGTTCAAATTTGACTGGGTAGAATTTCAGCCCCAATTTTTTTTTTGTATTGGGAGCCTTACATACAATTTTTACATACCCAAAATAGAACCCTTGTTCACCATACCATTTTAACTTACCAATTGGTATTCTTTATGACTACTCCATGTGAGAACGTGGATAATGGACAGGGGGTAAATTTGAGATGGGATTGTGATGGGGTAAACCTGTTATTAACTTGATTTGGCAGCTGATTTATTTTTATTTCTGGAATTGGGGTAATCTTTCCTGTGGAATCTATTATGTTGAATTAAATGTTTGTTTGATTATTTAAATGGTGTAGTTTTTTTGTTTGTTTCTTTTTTGAACTTGGCAACTTGTCTTTGCTCCTTCCTTCTTATTAGATCTTAGTATTTTATATAGTCATACTATTGATATAGTTTATTTTTATTGAGTTCATCTGTTTTACAAGATTACTTTGGTCCTTCAAATAGTCCATGATACTGTTGCTTTGGTCTAGATCGCTGGTTACAGAGAACCGGAAATCCATGGTGAGTGAAGATAAGTCCAGCAGAAGTGCAGTCTTGCTAACTTTTAATGCTAACTTTGGAGCAGAATGAATCTTGGGTTTGTGCTGAAATTACAAATGTTCTGAAAAATTAACCAAGTTTTAAAAATAGCTAAGTAAAATTTTTAAAATTATGGTATTTTAGCTAAAATGGGCAATGTCCTTCACATTTCTTCATCATTCCCAATTTAGGAAATAAACCCCAAAGTATTCACTAGAAGCAAAAAGTGAAATTTTGGGAGTACAAATGCCAGAAAAATCTATAACAATAATAATAATTATTATAAAATGTAATGTAAATGTCACATTCACAGTCGACTTACAATTCTCTGATCAGTGTAATCGCCACTACTGTATGCCGTAGCCAAAGTAGAAGAGCATTTCTCGGCATACCAAGGAGACAGTCCTTGTTGAGAGGCACTGCTTATAGAAATAGTGTAAATACTGTCGGTGTATCCATCGCAGTCACAGTTATCTCCTTGGCGACCACCGTTTCCAGAAGCCCAGACATAGATGGAACCTTTTCCATTGCGACCCTTTTGAAAACAAAAAGAATACGTTATATGGATCTACTCAATGAAAATGTAAAGATTTACAGATTTTTAATTATTAGAAGATATGAAGAACCTTGGAATTAATATATCTGATAAAGTGGACGCAAATACTGTTACACTCTGGTCTCCTCCCTTGACTTCTTGTAACTTATAGAGAGTGAAGAGCTGTAAGTTAATATCAGAGCATCATTTAAGCTATCTCAGGGGTTCCCATTGGAGCAATAATTGGATGTATAAAGTCATGAGACGTGGAGTATGCATAGTCATCATACATGCTAAGTGAGTATGCAAGAACCATACAGCTGTAGTGTGAATGTCATGCTCAACACACATGCTAGGACTTAGGAACCCTCATCTGTCTCCCACTGAGATGATACATGAAGCCACACACATTGCCCATTGTGCTGTCCAATTCCTCCCAAGTGGAGTAACTGGAGTGGCTCTAAAAAAGAAGAAGATTTTGCCATGAGGTTGGATCTGAACATGGAGAAAAGTGAGAATGACATTCACAATTAAGGAGTTTAACCCCTTAAGGACCAAACTTCTGGAATAAAGGGGAATCATGACATGTCACACGTCATGTGTCCTTAAGTGGTTAAAAGGATGCTATATTTAACGCTACGGCTTTAAATTAATTCAAAATAAATATATATTTTTTAAAGCTGGAGTGTCACTTTATAGGCTAAACTTATTTCCATAGTGAATACTTCGATATTTTATTGCCCTGGTTATATTCTGAAATATGTTTTCTGGTGATGTAGCGTACGTCGATGTGGCATTGTCATATTGTATGATATTAAAATGTTTGAAATATGTGTAGCACTATAATATGTCTGTCTGACTATACTGAACAGTCCCTGATGACTGGTCTCATTTAGAATGTGATGTACAGATAATAAGTACAATACGTTTAGGGTTTTGTTTTGAGATGAAGCTATCTCAAGGGATAAAATGGTAATCTTAAAGCTTAACGGAGACTGCTGTTTGCCCAACCCAGGTTGAATGTTTTTTGTTTTTTTCAATATACATTGTCACGTTCCAAGATATATATTTTTTTCATGGGTACCATTTCAACTCACCTGTTTAATTCCATATTCAAAAGCCTTCTGTGCCAATCTCCCAGGACCCTCCACAGTTTTCCCATCATCGTTGGGCCCCCAGCTAGCGCTATAAATGTGCACATGTTGTGGATTGAATCCAATCGAACTTGCTTCTATAGCATCTGTTACAACACCGTCTAGCATTCGAATACCTTTAACAAAAAGCATATAGGAAGATGTGATCGACAAAACAATAACATAGAATGCTTAGTATGTGCTGTCATTTCAAAAATAGCCTTAAACCTTTCCATAATGAGGTATTATATCCACATGCAAACACAATTTTCACATTTTGCTGGCAGTTCTTGGAATCTCCAAATATAATGCACAAAATTATGCTTTTATGTCAGCTGTCTATAATATGCCAAGTCAGCCTCCACCACTGCCTTCATATCAGCTGCCTCTCTCTTGACCTACCACTTTATGCCATCTAATGTCATATTTCTGTCACTCAAGCTTCTACCGTCTACCATCTTTCCCGTTCCTCTTCATATAATCTCCATATGACGTAAATACGTACCATCACCATATGCTGTCCTCCACCCATTATGTGAGGTCCTATTCCACGTCAGGTTATTTTGTCTCCACTATATAAGCCATATTTTCCATCTCAGCCCTGTTTCTACGTGTCTTTCGTTGACTCCTCAATTCTACTCGCTTCATGCCTACTCTCATTCTTTATGCCAACCCATTCTCCCCACCTTCTCTCCAAGCCTTGCCACCAGTGCCAACATTCTGCTGATTACTGTGTAGCAGGTGTTTTCTCCTGTTTCTTCATACGATGAGAAAGTAAGATGTCGAAATGATCCTTTATTTATTGAATTACCTCCAACTTTTGCATTGTATGCAACTCCAACTCCACATTTGTTGTTATTCGCAATCATCGCAACTTCTCCTGCACATCTAGTACCGTGTCTGTAAATGTTAAAAGACAGGGAAATATGAGCAGGATAGTACAAAGGAAGAAAACTCATTGCTCTAATACAATAAAATAATTACGAGAAAAAAAGGAATTTATACAGCAATAAATCAAATAATGTTAAGTAGATTTGGGAATTTTCCAGTATTATTCCAAGTGCGATACTGTCAAACCGCAGCCATTGGTGTGTCTGAGGAATAAGTTGTGAACCACCGATCAAATCTACACATTATTTCCAACTTGTATGAGTGTCTGGAGGGCCCCTTTAAAAATGGCAAAGCATTATGGTACTTATTGTTCTACAAATAACTAACCAATATGAGCCAGTCTGGCTGGCTAATTGACGGGGAGATTATGGATGTGCAATGTTGATGACACGGTTCGCTTTGTAAAGTACATCATTAACAGTATGACATACTTTCACAGCCTAGACTGGGTCGACCTGGTATCCCAGCTGGATATCACACGAAATATGGCAACCAAACGTTGTGCTAAGCAAAATCTTGTATATAAAAGGAAATATGCTTTATATAAAGATTTATTTATTATTTATTCCTCTGATGTTAAAAATGGGTGTTAAAAATATTTACATCCTTTCAGAAGAGTAATACCTTATTACATACGAATTTGTAACTATATTCATTTAGACTTCTGCCCTGGTATTTTTCCTTGTATGAAATATTTTTTCATCCTGTACATTCTGGAACTCCTAGGCATGCTTGCAGGATCAGTATAGTTCAATCACACTCACACTCCCACTCACAAGCATTCATCCAGAATGGGCACCGACAGCTGAGAGCAGTCAGATAACTAACTCCAAGGGAGCAATGGTTAACTCCATAGAGGGGTATATTATGCCACAATAATAGCATAACACTTTGGGTTATAAAATGCATATTACTTGATTATTCTATAAATATGATGTATTAAATCAATATTATTTCATTATATTTGAACTCTTTGTCCAATGGCTGCTTGTTCGTCTGTGACTTTGCTTTTACCCAATTTGTTGTTTAAAAAAATAGGGGTATCTTATATTTTATGTTCGAGTCGCATGTGATTATTCCTGATTTTAAAGCAGACACCGGATTGCATTGAGTGAGATTTGATTAGTCATTTGAAGTAGCTACATTTCAACTTAATTTGCCTTCAGTAAATATAATTATTGCAAATTATGTTGCAGTTTGGTGTTTTTTCCCCCAAATTTTGATGATTATGACAAAATTCCTGCCTTAGTGAATATTCATATATTTCTGCTCGCTTGTGTTTGGTACTTAAATATGTATTAAATTACAATCTTATCCATTAATTTTGCATAATAGCCCTTGGTGTTTGTGTCAAATAAAATACAATTTATTTACTAAACCAGAGATTCCTATGACCTGACATGGAAGTAAACATTTTAGGCTCAAATGCCCGAAGTGAAAACAATTCTAAATCAGTTCTTCTGTACAATCACTGGGTTCATGACTAAACCTCAATGTTTGAGCAGTTGCTGTTAATAGCATGTGAAAATGACACAGCTGTGAATATACCCTGTGTGTGCCTTATATAAATCCATATACACATAGATAGACATTAACCCCTTAAGGACACATGACATGTTTGGTCCTTAAGGGGTTAAACCAAGACAGTATACCTACTTGTTCTCATTTGTAATGTCATATCTAGGGAAGGGATCATTGTCATTATCGTTAAAATCATAGCTGGCTTCTGGATCCTAAAATACAAAGGATACATGGTGTCACTGTATATTCTGTATACTGTATTCGTACATACTGTAATGTCTGTTAGTGATGACAGAGGTTTATAAAGCAACAATTTGAAGTTAATGTAATATAAAATATTTAATTTATTCTATATATTATTTGATATAGCAGTTTTATAAAAATAATTTATTACAAACAAAATAGGAACAACTTGATACACCGCCAACACATTATCATAATGTTAAATAATAATTAGCTACTATGATGAGGTAATGATGAAATTAATGTAATATTAACTATTCTACAGGTTTACAACTCTAGACCAAAATCTAGTTTTCCAAACTTTTTTTTCCTCCATACAATCTGGCCAATCCGGCTTTTGAATTGTGTTTAATTCTGCCAACATATTATCATGTTGCTATCTAACCCCTGACAGAGTACTAGAGGTTGTGGTGAAAGAGACATATTCATTTTTATGTAGTGTATGTGAATGTTTGTTCAACCGCTATGAAAGGTATTATTCCTAACGACAAGGGACATCCTTGAGGGAACAATCTGCCCAACTCTCTGGACTGTATTCCTGAGCCCGGGGGAACCAATTCTTAGTAGATCTATCAATTAATTAGTCTGTGATATATGTAAAGCACCCAGGCTATATATTGCAAAATGATACCCAAATTATAGAAATTAATTGTGCCCATTAACTCTCTAACTGTATAACAGAATAACAAATCTGGTTCATAGCTTCAGTGGAAAACATTTGCGTAATCCTCCATGACACCACCCCTTTACATTCTTAATAATAGGGATTAATGGGCTAGAGAAAAATATAATTCCATGCACCTACATTTTCAATGATTTCCATATACCTTCACCTGACCAGTATCTCCTTTCTTTTTCTCCGGTCCTATTTTCTCCCTTACACAACTTGACTGTCCTTCAATAATCTTACTTCTCTCTAGTCCCGAATTCTAATTTTTTCTCACTTTTTTCCCATACCTCCCTACAGTTTTTCCGTATTTTGCTTATTCAGACTTATGTCACTTCAAATCATCACTCAGACTTCACATTCCTATTTAATTATATAATTTCATGTGTGAAGCTTTGAAAAAGAATTGAGAAAGCAATGCCCATTTTTTCATTTTTTTTTTTTTTTAGAATAAGTAAGTAGTTTATTTAATGGAAAATTTAATGTTTCCGAAGATAGAAAGAGCTGTAAACCATGCCTAGCTCATTTCATAATGCTATATATGTACTCTTCTTTGTACACACAGTTGGCTAATTGTGTTAGTTAAAGGTATACACACAATGTTAAACAATGTAAAACTTACGTAATTAGTGTAGATATCTGTGTGGTTCCATTCCAGCCCGTCGTCCAGTACAGTTACAACAACGCCTTTACCAGTTATTCCTTTTCTCCACACAGGAATCACATGGAGGTCCAATTTAGGTAAAGATGGGTTAACTCTTGTATCTTGCTAAAATAAACACACAAAAATAAAAAACTTTAATAAAAATGAACGCTCTCACTCATAGACATGAAGCTGCGTAAGTGAGAGCTCATGTTGAACATACACTGAAGCATTGTGTCACAGAAGTAGTAGTATAGAGGGGTCTCCCCCACTACTTTTTTGGAAACTGTACTATTGTTAAGGTGAATGACACAACGCCTCAAAAACGCACTTTGGCTAATATATAAGTGAGGAAACAAACGTCTTAAACTTTCTCATAAATTTTGATAATTGACCAACTATACATTCAGATAAAATGTTGCACATTGTTGAGTCATTCTTTAAATTAGAGTGGCTCTCGTTGACATTTACAATTATGCAGTGCAATTGTTTAGGATGTTGCAATACGTTTGCTGAAGATCATGTAGTATGACTGCATTTTAATTTTACTCGTCCAATAAAAAGATTATATTCGTTCTTTTTTTTGTTTTCTTTTAATCTATTTTGACATTTTGTATAATTTGTCCTACTATGCTTATTATTTAGTTATTTTGTTTTTTCCTTAATTCCAGCTTAATCTACCTTATTTTTTATTGTTTTAATGGTTTTATATTATATATAACAGTATATGGATACTTTGTGTCAGAGCTGAGTTGTCTGGTGTTTGCGTTACCTTACATTGCATCCCAGCCCCTTCTGGCAATCAAGAACATAAATCATTGTACATTCTAATATTCAACTGAAAGCAAAACGCAAATAAACTGTGTTACTCTGAGATTGTTTGCAAAGAGAAGAATCTGTTTGACTTAGAGCACACTAACAAGCCGGATATAACTTTTTCTACTGCAGCTAAACAATAGATTGATTTTGTGCTTTCTTGAAAGTATATATAAATATTCAGATATAATCTGTACTACCTCGCTCTGACTTTTTTTACTCTCTTTCTACTTAGCAACCTGTTTTAATCCCTACTAATCAATCACTGGGAACTACCTTCACCCTAGATTCTCTCTGGGAACAGTCAACAAAGCAGGAACACCAGATGTCCCTGTAAAATGGACATGATGCTGTATGATGGAAAGCAATGCATGATATTCGCACACAGAGGAATTTTGAAATGTTAGAATTGCTTAAACTCATTCTTCAGGCAGATACCTATTAATAAGGGTAGGGGTGTCTGTGTATTGGTGGTGAGGAGGGTAAATAATACCAGGTAGAGAGTAATAGCTCCTACCTCCCCATCCCCTTCTCCAGGATCCTATTAAGAAATCACAAATAAACTGAAAGTACAATACTGGACAATCAGGAATTTAGCATGGTTTAATAGTGAATTTGCAAATTTATGGAAAAACATATCACCTTTTGATTAATAAAAAAAAAAAATCTGGATTTAATAATGCTGTAATACGCATTAATGTGCATTATATTCATTTTTAACTCCCGAGGAAAGTGATTGATACACTGCGTTATTAAATGTTAAATTATTAAATCAAGTATAATTATGACAGATGTTGGGTAGTTTAGAAAAAATATATTCTATACAATTATATACCTACAATATATTATATACAGTTCTATACTAATAGTACGTAAGGTCTCTTCTCTTTTCCCCTCTCATCTCGTCTATATAATATCATTTCTTAAAGGTAATATGCAGCTGTGATCCAGATTGTGACTCAGATATTAAAGTGACCCTATAGTCAAGAAAATCACAATAGACACTCCTCTTTGTCCACCTCCCCTTATCTATTAAATACAATTAAGGTCAAGAATGATTACTTACCTCGTTGCCAGTGCCAAGACTCGTCTGCAGCAGCCTCCTGCTCCGCCTTCAAAGACGTCATCAAGCCTTCTCCAACCTCAACCAATCCAATGCAACTCATAGAGACGCATTGGATTGAAAAGCGTATGCGTGTCCAAATGACGCACTCCTCCAATCAAATGCTGCTATGAGCAGATTCTACAAACAATGTTTTACATGGAAGCGTTAAAAGGACTGGAGCACAGGGCCATTGAGATGAAGAGGTCTGGGTGTCTTTAGTGATCTTTAAATGAGTTCTAGATCAGTGGTTCTAACACTGTGAACCACCGCAACCCAAAGGGGAAATGGTCAATTTAAAGGCTAGTTTGAAAGATCTCCCTGACTGTGTGTGTGTATAGTAACTCAGCTAAGGAACGCAAGTGCAGAGTCAGCATTCTCTTTATCACAATCTGTAACATAATTTTATTAAAAGTAATTATGAAACCAGGGAGAAAAATAACACTCACCAAATACCATTGCCGACTCCACATGGGATCATTAAAAAGCTTTTCTGTGTCTTCCCTGAAGATTGAACGTTTATTTCGATGTTTGATATACTGCTGTTCTGCCCACGACACCTGCAATTACAAACAGAGATCTATACAAAGTGCAGCGGCTTGGGAGATTGACTCTTTGCTTGTTAAATGTACGCAAACATTTTGTTTTTGTGACTATCTATGACCAATCTTCAGCAAATAAATAAATGTATAAAAAAAAAATTAATTCATACAATGAAAAAAGCTATTTTAAGATAAAGCGGCAAATTAGAAAATATAAAATAACATTACCTAATATTACCTAATTATTGCAACAGATTATATTTTAGATTTAGTTTCAGACTGACTATGAATCATAGGAAAACGATAAAAACACCAAAAACACCAAAAATCGCATCATTGAGGGCAAACCAAGGTATGGAAAACATCTACAGGCTCTATGAAGGTCTAATGTTGGATTCCCAGGATAGGAACCGGTGACATATTACGGAGAGATTTATAAAATATTCACTAAAAGAAAATATCTGACAACGTTCTAGAAGTGGAACAATTACCATAGAAACGAAGGGACTCCATTGGAATATTCAATTGTTTTCATCTTCTTCTTGACAGTAGAAGGAGGAAACCAGTGAATACCTGCTCAAGTGGCACCAGCCAAAGACTTAAATATGGTTAAATGCCTTAATACATTTACCCTAGGAACATTAGTTAAAATTTTTATAACTTTGAGCAATTATTGCTCAGAGTGACATGAATTTTAAATCTGCTGGAATTATGGAAATAATCATGAATTCTTAATATGTCACACACGGTGGAGACATTTCAGGTCCATGATGACAATACTTGACAGACAAGATGTTCCTGAACTGCCATCTGATAATACTTACAACCATGGCTCCCCATACCCACACAGAGGGAATAGAATATTGTGGAAACATTGAGTAACTAACCCGTATTCCAAAGCCACTGTTCTCGTTAGGCATTATATTGAAGGTGGATGCAGGTCTACTATCGACCTCAAATAAGTGTATGACCTGCAGTGAACCCTGGATGGAATGTCTACACTTTAATTATCTCGTTATGGCCTCGATTTAAATCATTTTAATCAGCATCAGAAATTACTCCAAACTGTGAGAAAAAAAACTTTTTAAATGATTTATCTACAGAAGTCACCATTAAAGTCTGGCAAATTTTTTGTAGATAAATCATTTGAAAAGTTTTTTTCCTAACAGATTGGAATAATTTCTGGTGAAGATTCAAACATTAGATTTGGGACATAATGAGCAAGAGTCATATATTTCTATATTGTGTGATATGTTATATTACATCAAACACTATTTCTTCTGCCCAGAGGTCATACCGTACCTATGTTTTACCAAGCAATGGCTGGGAACCAGCATGGATCACACTGCATGAAGCAGTGCTCTCAAACCTTAGCATTCCAAATGTTTAGAAACTATATTTCCCATGATGCCTTGCCAAATAAAAGTTCACAAACATCAAGCGTGCTATGTATAGCCATCACTAGGGATGTGCATTGGCAAACAATTTGGTTCGGTTCGGTACTATTGAAATTCATGACTTCGGCAATTCGGCACTTCGGTTAGGTTCAGTTTGGCAATCCAAAATTTGTGACTTCAGCATCTGAAGCATCTGAATGTCCAAATTGCCGAAATTCATCTGATTTTAAATTCGGACCGAAACGAATTGCACATGTATAGCCATCACCAACATAAAGGATTTATTTTTGATCCAAGCCAATCATACAGGTGTTTTCACATGGGACAATGGATATCGCCATTGAGCTCTGAATGTGGTATTTACAAACCCTAGGAATGTGGCAGGTTTTCATTTTTAAGTTAATCAAAGAAGAAAATTAGCTTATTGTACATGTGCTGGGAAAAACATAGGGGAAATGGGGGTAACTCCAAAAGGAATAGACCAATCAAATAGAGTAAATGGGGCCAGGAGTGCTAAAAAAAATATGTAATGTGTAAGGATCTCACTTGTACTAACAGAGCAATAGAAAGGGTAGGATAATAGACTAATAGGGAAGAAACAACTGTAGTTCCCTAAATGTGCCTTCAAGGGCACCTGTCCGTGCACTGACCGTCTTAGCTAGCTTACAGCTATACTCTCCATGCTTCGAGGGCACCTGTCCGTGCACTGATCATCTTAGCTAGCTTACAGCTATACTCTCCATGCTTCGAGGGCACCTGTCCGTGCACTGATCGTCTTAGCTAGCTTACAGCTATATCCTCCGTGCTTCGAGGCACCTGTCCGTGCCCTGATCATCTTACCTAGCTTACAGCTATACTCTCCGTGCTTCAAGGGCTCCTGTCCATGCACTGATTATCTTAGCTAGCTTACAGCTATACTCTCCATGCTTCGAGGGCACCTGTCCATGCACTGATCATCTTAGCTAGCTTACAGCTATACTCCGTGCTTCGAGGGCACCTGTCCATGCACTGATCGTCTTAGCTAGCTTACAGCTATATCCTCCATGCTTCGAGGCACCTGTCCGTGCCCTGATCATCTTAGCTAGCTTACAGCTATACTCTCCGTGCTTCGAGGGCACCTGTCTGTGCACTGACCGTCTTAGCTAGCTTACAGCTATACTCTCCGTGCTTCGAGGGCACCTGTCCATGCACTGACCATCTTAGCTAGCTTACAGCTATACTATCCATGCTTTAAGGGCACCTGTCTGTGCACTGATTATCTTAGCTAGCTTACAGCTATACTCTCCATGCTTCAAGGGCACCTGTCCGTGCACTGACCATCTTAGCTAGCTTACAGCTATACTATCCATGCTTTAAGGGCACCTGTCTGTGCACTGATTATCTTAGCTAGCTTACAGCTATATCCTCCGTGCTTCGAGGCACCTGTCCGTGCCCTGATCATCTTACCTAGCTTACAGCTATACTCTCCGTGCTTCAAGGGCTCCTGTCCATGCACTGATCATCTTAGCTAGCTTACAGCTATACTCTCCATGCTTCGAGGGCACCTGTCCATGCACTGATCATCTTAGCTAGCTTACAGCTATACTCCGTGCTTCGAGGGCACCTGTCTGTGCACTGATCGTCTTAGCTAGCTTACAGCTAGACTCTCCGTGCTTCGAGGGCACCTAACTCAGAAATTAAATGGCTGCAGAGTATTTGTTAGTGTTATAGCTAACTGACCCAAAATAGTCAAAAAGACTACGCTGAAGTAAAAACTAAAATCAAACTGACAACTTGAAGCCGAACAGGTATCACAGGATCAAACATTGAGTTTGTTCAAAGTAGCAGCTAGTGAGATGGTTGTAGGTCACTATAGTGCTTGGAACAATTTGTGCATACAGTGAATGTTCGTATGCATCGCAAATGTCTCTACATAGCAAGGATGGTTACTTTTTGCCAATACTACTCTTTACCAATGTTAATGTGGTAAAAATTCACAGTAATATTTTTTCAAACGATAACAAAAGTGCTTTGAAATAAGATGCTGTACATAACATTCCTTTTCTAAATGACATTATCAGTGAAATAAATAGCTCTCAGTAGGTTATGAAACAAATAAGGAGCCAATTTGTTGTAAAAATCACGGCATTAGCTTTTTTATGTCTGACGTCTAGCATGGACTTTATGCATATTGCGTTTATGCTGTCAAGCTATGTGTGCTTGATGCAAAATCTGCAATAAAGTTGTACCAAATTTGTGGAGGTATTTACCCAATGACTTTATGGATCACCCAGCAAGGTAGAACTCATTTCTATGCATTTTGAAACATGTTGGGTACACTGGGCTAATGCCACATTTACTGGGCACACTGTCTGAGCTTAGTGGGTCATTTGGAATAAAAACAGTAAAGAACAGAGATCAAAATTTGCGTCCTTTTTGTTGCTGACAAAATAGCCTTTTCTGAGCAACTCGTGTCATATTTTTGGTCTCAAACCTCTGAAAAGTCAACCAAAGAATTTGCAGTTAGACCTTTAATCCATGTTACACATCATGGAAAAAACAGCTGATACCAAACACCACAGATCATGCAAAAAGCACACTGTCAACATTTGCACAGTAGAAAAAATGTCCTGGAATAGCCCAGTTTAACAACCCTCCCGTCACATCACCTAAACTGAAAGTGTCCCTCTTCTGCCATTTAATACATTTGGAGAAATGTCTAGAGAATCACTATCACCGTACAATTATTGTGTTTGTGAAATATTACACTTACTCGCTCATCATCTAAGAGTCTTTTCGTGATTCGCAGGGCACTTCTTCGAGATCTTCTCGGGTGATCTCTGTGTCTGAATAAGAAGTGATTTTCAAGTGATCCAATCTATAGGAAATATTAATTGTTACAATGATTAAAAGAGACACATTTTTTTTTTAATGCAGCAAAGATTCTTGAGACTCCCAAACATCAATTTCCAAATAACTACTAAAAACATCTGTATTCCTGCAATTATCATAAAGGACCCTACATTCCTTTAACATCTTTACCATTGTTTAGGGTATATTGCTAGGACTATCACATAGCAATGTTTTAGAAGATATGCAATGACAACTGATTACCACAGGTGATATAGAAACATAGAATGTGAGGCAGATAAGAACCATTCGGCCCATCTAGTCTGCCCAATTTTCTAAATACTTTCATTAGTCCCTGGCCTTATCTTATAGTTAGGATAGCCTTATGCCTATCCCGCCCATGCTTAAACTCCTTTACTGTGTTAACTTCTACCACTTCAGCTGGAAGGCTATTCCATGCATCCACCACCCTCTCAGTAAACTAATACTCTCTGAAATTATTTTTAAACCTTTGCCTCTAATTTAAGACTATGTCCTCTTGTTGTAGTAGTTTTTTTTCTTGTAAACCATCTGAGTGAATTAAAAATTTGCCATTGTATTTTTGTCACTAAAGGACTACGTGTATTTTTACCTTATCTTAAATGTAGTTTTACCTTACAAAGTTTCATGAACACAGTATCAATGTTATACAAGCAATATCAGTTCAGGATATAATGAAATACCACACAAAACAAGGAGGGGTATTCACAAAAGTGAGAATTCGAAGTGAAGCTATGCTGCCAATTCGGCTACTGTCGCCATAAATTTGAAATTCTCTTTGAATTCAATTTGAATTCTCACTGTGGTAAAAAACCCTGAGTGGTTTAAAATGATAATTTGCTAGTTTCCTCTAAAACTCTTCTAACATACTGTTCACTCTTCATTAATTTATTTTTATGATGATTTTATTACTAAAATCTATTTTAGAGACAGACAGACAGATGGATAGATAGATAGATAACCAGTCCAATATAATTATCAACACCTCTAAATGCTAAAAATACATTAAACTTATAAATGTAAAGAAGACAGCCAATCGACCAATACGTATGTATCTACATCCTTAAAAACTTTAAAAAAAACACATGTGCAAAAAATATGAGTATCAGTAAATATTACTTGATTTTACAAAGCATTTCATTCTAGAGATGCATTGAATCAATGCATTTCTATCGGGAGGTTGAACACCTCCATGCAGAGCGTGGAGATGCCAAACGAAGGTGCTACACTCAGAGATAGGAAGCACCTCCAGTGGCCATCTGAGTGACTGCCAGTAGAGGTGTTACTAGGCAGCAATGTAAACACTGCCTTTTCTCTGAAAAAAATCTAGGGAGTATTAGATGACTCACAGCTTTTCCGCACGCATGTTCACCCACTGAAGCTATCACATTAAAGGAGCGATAGCCTTTTGACTGTAATTACACAACAAACACATTTTGTGAGCTATACAGTGGTCACAGAAGAGACTAAGTGTGTTGCTTGAGAAACGCTAAATAATGACTGGCTTGCATAGCCCTTATTTACTCTATAGCTACCCTGCAGCAGAGAATGCAGATAAACCATGCAGTGAGAGATTGCTCCGGTATTCGCATAAAGCCAATTACTTATTCCTGGTTACTCTGACGTCAGAGTTTATGAGAAAGGAGACATTTAATTGGCAATGCTGGACTTTATTCACAAAAGATGGATGAGTCATGCCACAGCGAATTAATCTTTATTATTAGCTAATTGGTTTAATTACCTCAATATGTCATATTATTAAAATATGCTATTTTCCATATAAAATGTGGCATATAAAATATCCGTAACAAATTTAATAGCAATGAAAGTCCTTGAGATAAAAAAATAATAATAATAATTAAACCGTTTTCAGATCAAATCTGCCTTCCTGGGCTCACAAACACACTGCCTTGGTTCTGTTTAAACCCCCACATCAAATGTTTTAAGAGCAAAGAACGGTTTAATCCACATTTTCAATAAACTAATTATTTTCATTTATTTTAGACATTTGTTTAATTATAAGGTTTATTTACTAAAACACCAAGGTTGACAGGGGGATTCTAAAATAAAAAAAAATATGCTATTGAAATCAATTCTGTTTTAATGAGGGATTTTATGTTAAACGTTCCATATTATTTAGTTAGTTCATGAGATGTCTTCTATCTACAGCTTAGCTCACAACAATGTTGATGTAAACTTGGCTAACATGTTAAGGTAAACTGGGGACAGTTTTTTTGTTCTGTAACATGCTATAAACCATGTAAAATGGGGGGCTCAAACGCCAGTGTAGAATATGATTCTGATGTTATTACATAATGCTTCTTTTAATACTGGCCTTTTGCATCCAAGATCCTTCAAAGAGTTGTGTATGCAAGATTGACAGACTTCCTCGAGTCCAACTCTCTGCTAGACCCACTTCAGTCTGGTTTCTGCACTAAGCAGTCTGTGGAAACGGCACTGACCAAAGTATCCAATGATCTACTCGCTGCAAAATCTCGTGGTCACTACTCTATCCTAATTCTCCTTGACCTTTCTGCGGCTTTTGACATGGTTGATCATCAACAGCTTCTTCTCATCCTCCGCAATATCGGACTACAAGATATTGCTCTCTCCTGGTTCTCCTCCTACCTCTCCCAGCGCTCTTTCAGTGTTTCTTTCTCTGGCTCTGCTTCTCCTCCCCAACTCCTCCCAAGGTTCAGTCCTTGGTCCCCTAATGTTCTCCATCTATACTGCCTCCCTTGGTAAACTCATTAGCTCCTTTGGCTTCCAATATCATGTTTATGCAGATGACACGCAAATCTATCTGTCCTCTCCTGATCTCTCCCCGTCCCTCTTGACTAGTGTCTCTGACTGCCTCTCTGCTGTTTCTAACTGGATGGCTGCCCATTTCCTTAAACTCAGCTTGATCAAATTGAAATTCTGGTCTTTCCTCCCTCAAGAGTTGCTACTCCTGTGTCTCCCTCCAAGTCAACGATGCTAACATCAGCTCCACCACGCAGGCTCGTTGCCTAGGTGTTCTCTTTTTGACTCTGACCTCTCTTTTACACCTCATGCTCAGTCTATTGCCAAATCCTGTAATTTCCATCTCAAAAACATTGTGTGCATACGACCCTACTTAACGCCAGATGCGGCTAAGGTGCTGGTCCATTTCACTGTCCTTTCTCGCCTTGACTACTGTAATCCGCTTTTCAGTGGTCTTACGTGCTTCCAACTTGTGCCATTACAGTCCATAATGAATGCAATGGCGAGGCTTATCTTCCGCCTGCACCGCCCACGCCTCACCCTTCTGTCAGTCCCTACATTGGCTTCCCGTAAGATATAGGGCTCAATTTAAAATTCTGGTTCTTGCTTTCAAATCGCTACACAACGCTGCTCCCACCTATCTATCCTCCCTTATCAACAAGTATGTCCTGTCTAGGCTCTTACGATCTGCTGAAGACTTACGTCCATCTTCTGCCCTTACTCCCACCTCTGATGCTCACCTTTAAGACTTCTCGAGGGCTGCACCGTTCCTGTGGAACTCACTTCCCTCCTCCATTAGATGCTCACCCAGTCTCCACTACTTAAAAAAATTATTAAAAACCCACTTCTTCATAACAGCGTATCAATTAAACTGTTAATAGCTCCCGACTGATTACTCTCTTGCAACTGTCATTATTCTAATACTATCCTTACCTTTGTGTCACTTTACCCCACTCCCTCTAGAATGTAAGCTCATTGAGCAGGGCCCTCAACCTCTCTGTTCCTGTGTGTCCAACTTGTCTGGTTACAACTACATGTCTGTTCGTCCACCCACTGTAAAGCGCTGCGGAATTATATGGCGCTATATAAATATCATAATAATAATAATAATAATAATAAAGAACTTAATAAAAAAAGAAATCTGAAAAAAATTCTCCAATTCAGCATAAAATTAGCAATTTCATTGTCAATTCTCCACTATTCAATGTTTGGTAACTAACACACACTCCATACAGCACATCCCTGCTGTTTAAATCACACCTGATCACGCCGAGACTTTGCCTTCAGGCAAGTGCTTAGTAATCTGACTGAGCTGGACCCAATTTTTCAGTGTACTCCATTTTATAAGTACCCTGGGCATATGTATCTACAAAGGGGGTGTCAGCTGTGCCCAGGGGCACCCTAGTACTGAACCCTGTATCCCTTTTCTCCATTTTAAATCCTGCCTGCACTTTGGGTCCATTTAAGATAGATTATTATCTGTTGAATGTAAAAATTATTCATTTGGTTTTAGGTAAAGAAATAAATATTTGCATTTTGGGCCTCGTTTTTTTAATTCTGTATTTTTATAAAGTTTCAGAATACGGTAAAAAACTAAGATGAGTGGCGAAACTTGGACAACGAGAGTTGAAGAGGTGTACAGCCGCTACACTATCAATCAATGTATCCCTGTAAGTTGTAGTCCCTAAAGACACTGGGCCGGTACAGAATGTCACAAGTGATTAATGACACTGAGATTGTTAAAGAAATCAATGTTAATCTGACAATCCCAATCCCTTAGCAAAGCTAATTATGGATAAATGATTCTAAATCATATGGCCTTCCCTATTACACTTATGTTAATGTACATGTTTTCTGAAACATTACAAGCTACGGGTGGCCAGTGAAACCGTCAGCTGACACGCTTAGCCTATCACTGCTGTTTGAACAAATGATTCCACATTTGCTGAGCACTCTCAGAGAGAGGAAGTCGGACTGGCTCCTGAGGGAATCTGCTACAATGTTAAACCATTCGAAAATGGTAAAGTAAGACGGTACCTGGGAGACATTGGACACCATAACCACTTTATTGACTTAATTGGTTTTAGTGTCAGGGGTATTCTTTAAAGCAATGGAGATGTATTTATTAATATTAATGAATTCCTTCAACAAGTGCAGTTATTTTGGGAGCACTGCTAAACTAATTCAGGTCACAGCTCAGTTTTGGTAATGTGGTATGTCATGTGACTTAGGTTTTTGGACTTTAAGCGTAGATCTAGTCGTACAATAACACAACGTAATAATATTTACTCAGTGTTGACACACGAGAACAACAGATGCAAGAAATGTGCAGTAACTATAGCAAACTAAAGTGTCAATATAGCAAGGTGAGTACAGGAAGTGCTAGGAAAAAAACGTAACTTTCAAACTCAGGACGTCAATCCACATCTAAAGCAAGTTAGGGAAAATCTGGGTTAGGGATTAGTGGGCCTTCCTCCCAGCTAGCACTACGAACTATACCAATAACAGCAAAGAAATATCAGGACTACTAACATATCCTGTCTTATGTAAATGAAGATGTATGGCATAAGATGACAAAATGTAGAGTTTTCAACAGTTTACTCCTATCAAAGCTTGCCATTTCCCATCAGCCACCTCTCATGACCAAGAAATCAACATCTCTGACAAATCATTGCAAAGAGAGTTTTGTACTCTTGCGTGAAAGATTATATTTTTAAAAAGTAAAAAGTACCTTACACCACCTTACCATAAACCATGTAATCAAGACGAGGCTCCACAGGTAAATCCTAGGATCAATTTGTTTTATACCAGTTAAAAAGCGTCTGTGCACAAGTCTAATGTCATCTAGGGAGCCGCTATATTTATGCTTCTATATTGATGTTTTCCACGCCGGCGTAGCTGATTAGATATGGACACTTGTAAACGCAATTTTTACGCAACTTTTACCTGATGCTAAAATATTATAACAATAATAATTTAAGGGGTCAATTAATATTAACCTTATATTTTTCACTGGAGCGTCAAAATGTTTTATATTATAATAGGAAAACATTTTTTTTCTCTTACGGTTTTTTAAATGAGCCTGGGCTGCATGAGCATGTCAGCAAAAAGATAAAGAGGTGGATAGTGGATAATAAAATTTTAAATACCGCTGAAGCCTAAAAGCTGAAAAGGTTTGTGTACAGAGCTTTAACTGTTTATTGTTTTGTACAAACAGTATTTGCAGTCCATTTTGATAATTTTATCTACCCATAGAAGAATGTATCCAAATAAAAAAATAAATTAAAAAAAATCTTCTTTATGCAAGTGAATACAAAGAAGTAACGACACTAAGCGTTACTTCGCGCCAGCTTCACGTTGACTTCAAGGATAATTAACGAGGCATTGTTATTGCTATTAACAGTAGACCACATCAGTAATGACACTGAAGATAGGGTACCCCTGGAACAGTCTATAGGAGTTAGAGGGTTAGGGCACTATAAGTGGCAGGGGGATTCAGCAGCCCTCTGCTCAGTATATGTGGGATGGTTGGATCTAAAACTAGGAATTCCCTGGCTCTTTCTGCACAGGAAGCAGAGACATATGGAGAGTGAAAATCCTTGGAGCTATCCCATTTATTATTTTTAACCCACACCTTAATGCACACTGATGGCAATAATTATGACGGGTCCCTTAGTTAATTGTTTCATGACCTGCTGTGCATACTGTATACTGGATGATAAGGCAGTCACATGACAACCTCCCAGTGTAGCATCATTTATGTGGCCTCATCAGGGGGTTTTCCTGAACAGCATGCTTGATACTGATTGACTGCTCTTTGACAGCTGATGTTTTCATGTTAACAGTCAATCAATCAGCATAAAGATGGCTGAATCTGTTTGTTTGTTTTTTTTTCGTTTTCTCCATGCTTTGGTAAATATCATCAGTAAATAGTTTGGGGCGACCTGTAACATCAGAAAATTATTATTTAACACTCTCCGTCATAAGGTCGAAGACATTTAGCAATCTGCGCAGTCTGATACGTCCCTGAATTCATTTTAACCAAAGTGCTGCTTTCTAAGCCCCATTTCTGTGATTGTCCAAATCAGTTGCTAAAATACAGCACTCTATAGATTGGTAAATCTTAACGAGTTGCTAAATGCCGCCTAGTTACAGTTTGCAATTTGGTTTTCACAACCAGTTGTCTGGTTACAATTACATGTCTGTTAGTCCACCCATTGTACAGCACTACGGAATCTGAATCTGATGGCGCTATATAAATAATAAAATAATAATATATATTTATTTTGGAATAAAATCTATATTATGTTTAAATGCTACCATTCTTACACAGATGTTTGCATGTTGCCGCCAGTATATTAAATTACTTTAAATTATAACCATTGATCGCACTTGTCTCCGCAGCTAATAAAATTACTATTATTATTATTTATGAAGTGCCAACATATTCTGTAGTGTTGTACAACAGTATACGCTTAAACGTAGCATTGAGTGCCATTCACTATGCGACTGGTACATTAAATCACTATTTCTCCAATCCCATGTCCCATTTACATCACGCCTTCTTTATCTTAATTATATGTGATAAGTCCACACCAGAACATGTTTAATATCAAACTGTGACCCTGATTCTTTTTTTACTGGGCATACTGTACTGTGTTTCAAGCTGTTAATAAATCCGTATCCAGTCCTGTTCAATGAAGAAATGCTGTGGCTGTTTATATAACACTGCCATATTGACTATACAAATATATCTTATGCTCTGTATGCAAATTCTGGAGATTAGTATTAATGATACTGACAGATCTCTGGCAATATGATTTCTACAAAAACCCTAAACATATTTCATACATCAGTTTTATTCATGACTCAAGAACCCAGTGATCCCTATCAGAGGTGCAAGTACCACCTGTCTGATTTAATACATGTTATTAAGGCTCTGCAACACAGTAACAGGCCTCCTAGTGTATGAGTCACAGTAGCAAGATGATAGGAACATACAAATGTTTATTGTTGTGCCTCAATTACTGCAATTCAATTATTGATGCTCCCACCAGAATGTGTCATTGATGAGTGATGAGGATGACAAGAGAGAGGGCTACATTTTGACTACAGTGTAATCTGCACCTTTTACAATGCAAATTCTAGAATTCTGCCCCAGTATTCAGGATTCTACAGGGTTCAGTCTATAAACCAGGAATTCTAGAGAATAAACAGATTTCAGACCATAATAGCTGAGCTGCAAAAAGCAGAGGGATCTTCTAATTCAACTAGTTATGCCTATTTTTTCTCTGTCTCTTTAATTCTTCCAGAAATTACAGTTAAGTGAATGAATCCCCACTAGGTCCTAAAAAACTTGTTTTGTTTTTCCAAAGCTTGATTCCATGCAAAGGATATGCAGATTATCAAACAATCTATCGAGAAAACCAGATACCAATAAACATAAACAGCTACTCTGTGTTCTGTGACACTACTTAATAGACCCAGAACAGAGTAAGCAGGTCACATGAGATCTCACACATTCACATGATATTTAAGTACATACAGAAAATGTTCTATGTGGATATTGGTGTACAAACCCAACAGGTACATCTGACAGATTAACATTAAGAAAAGTTGCAAGACAGGCTTAGACTTACCTGGCCAATGTAATCATATGCCAACTGTTCGGCCAGCAGTTTGGCTTCTTCAGACCCCCCAGGAATCTCTGCAGCCCACTCATTGACATATTGTCTCTCTACCCCAGTTACACATAGTATACTGCACCAGGAGAATACAGAAACCAAAACCATGTACTGAGAAGATCTTCCTTCCATTTCCAGTGGGGATATGTGCAATATGTACAATATTTTAAGAACAGACAGGAGTAAATGTGAATTCCTCTTCTTTTCCCCCCCTTGTTGCTATGTGAACAGATAGTACAGCAGGTCTGTCTTGTAGAGTCTGTGCTGGAAAAAAAATAGCAAAGACCTTCTCTGGCTTCAATGGAAATGAGTATTTCCACGTCAAAGCTACGTCAAGCAATCTTCCATCGCCTTAAATCTATAGGGTTCTCCTGAGGGAGGAGAGATGCTAAAATAGGAAGCAGGGATGCAGGCAGTCCTGTACCCGGGGAGAGATCAGTGGGAGTAAATAGGCAGAGACCGCCTACAGGAGGGAATATAGACATCACAGCACAGAATGCACAACAGCTACTGCTCTGCACACACTCAATAATACACTGTAACACAACACACACTGTGTCAATAATATACTGTATCACTGCTCTGCACACACTCAATAATATACTGTATCACTGCACACACTGTGTCACTAATATACTGTATCACAACATACACTGTGTCAGTAATACACTGTATCACAACATACACTGTGTCACTAATATACTGTATCACAACACACTCTGTGTCACTAATATACTGTATCACAACACACACTGTATCACTAATATACTGTATTACAACACACACTGTGTCAATAATATACTGTATCACTGCACACACTGTGTCACTAATATACTGTATCACAACATACACTGTGTCACTAATATACTGTATCACAACACACTCTGTGTCACTAATATACTGTATCACAACACACACTGTATCACTAATATACTGTATTACAACACACACTGTGTCAATAATATACTGTATCACTGCACACACTGTGTCACTAATATACTGTATCACAACATACACTGTGTCACTAATATACTGTATCACAACACACTCTGTGTCACTAATATACTGTATCACAACACACACTGTATCACTAATATACTGTATTACAACACACTGTGTCAATAATATACTGTATCACAACACACACTGTGTCAATAATATACTGTATCACAACACACACTGTGTCACTAATATACTGTATCACTGCACACACTGTGTCACTAATATACTGTATCACTGCACACACTGTGTCACTAATATACTGCATCACAACACACACTGTGTCAATAATATACTGTATCACAACACACACTGTGTCACTAATATACTGTATCACAACACACACTGTGTCACTAATATACTGTATCACAACACACACTGTGTCAATAATATACTGTATCACAACACACACTGTGTCACTAATATACTGTATCACAACACACTGTGTCACTAATATACTGTATCACTGCACACACTGTGTCACTCACAACACACACTGTGTCACTAATTGTATCACAACACACACTGTGTCACTAATATACTGTATCACAACACACACTGTGTCAATAATATACTGTATCACAACACACACTGTGTCACTAATATACTGTATCACAACACACACTGTGTCACTAATATACTGTATCACAACACACACTGTGTCATAATATACTGTATCACAACACACACTGTGTCACTAATATACTGTATCACAACACACACTGTCACTAATATACTGTATCACAACACACACTGTGTCACTAATATACTGTATCACAACACACACTGTGTCACTAATACACTGTATCACAACACACACTGTGTCACTAATATACTGTATCACAACACACACTGTCACTAATATACTGTATCACAACACACACTGTGTCACTAATATACTGTATCACTGCTCTGCACACACTGTGCCACTAATATACTGTATCACAACACACTCTGTGTCACTTATATACTACATCACTACACACTCTGTGTCACCAATATACTGTATCACTACACACTGTGTCAATAATACACTGTATCACTACACACTCCATGTCACTAATATACTGTATCACTGCTCTGCGCACACTGTGTAACTAATATACTGTATCACTGCTCTGCACATACTGTGTCAATAATACACTGTATCATTACTGCTCTGCACACACTGTATCGCTACTATACTGTATCACTGCACACACTGTGTCACTAATATACTGTATCACTACACACACTGTGTCACTAATATACTGTATCACTACACACTCTGTGTCAATAATTCACTGTATCACTGCTCTGCACACACTGTCACTAATATACTGTATCATTACTGCTCTGCACACACTGTGTAACAAATATACTGTATCATTACTGCTCTGCACACACTATCTCTGCTATACTGTATCACTGCACACTATGTGTCACTAATATACTGCATCACTATACACTGTATCTCTGCTATACTGTATCACTACACACATTGTGTCAATAATACACTGTTTCACTACACTCTGTCACTAATATGCTGTATCACTGCACACACTGTATCTTTGCTATACTGTATCACTGCACACTCGGTGTCACTAATATACTGTATCACTGCTCTGCATACACTGTATCCCTGCTATATTGTATCACTACACACCGTGTGTCAATAATATACTGTATCACTACACACTCTGTGTCAATAATATACTGTATCACTACACATTTTGTCTCACTAATATACTGTATCACTACACACTCTGTGTCAATAATTCACTGTATCACTGCTCTGCACACACTGTGTCACTAATATACTGTATCATTACTGCTCTGTACACACTGTGTAACAAATATACTGTATCATTACTGCTCTGCACACACTATCTCTGTTATACTGTATCACTGCACACTCTGTGTCACTAATATACTGTATCACTATACACTGTATCTCTGCTATACTGTATCACTACACACATTGTGTCAATAATACACTGTTTCACTACACTCTGTGTCACTAATATGCTGTATCACTGCACACACTGTATCTTTGCTATACTGTATCACTGCACACTCGGTGTCACTAATATACTGTATCACTGCTCTGCATACACTGTATCCCTGCTATATTGTATCACTACACACCATGTGTCAATAATACACTGTATCACTACACACTCTGTGTCAATAATATACTGTATCACTACACATTTTGTGTCACTAATATACTGTATCACCACACACTCTGTGTCAATACTATACTGTATCACCACACACTCTGTGTCAATAATACAATGTATCACTACACAATCTGTGTCAATAATACACTGTATCACTGCTCTGGACACACTGTGTCACTAATATACTGTATCACAACACACACTGTGTCACTGCACACACTGTATCCTGCTATACTGTATCACTGTTCTGCACACTCTGTTGTGTCAATAATACACTGTATCACTACACACTCTGTGTCAATAATACACTTTATCACTGCACACACTGTGTCACTAATATACTGTATCACAACACACTCTGTGTCACTAATATACTGTATCACTACACACTCTGTCAATAATACACTGTATCACTGAACACTCTGTGTCAATAATAGACTGTATCACTGCACGCTCTGTGTCAGTAATACACTGTATCACTACACACACTGTGTCAATAATACACGGTATCACTGCTCTGCACACACTGTGTCACTAATATACTGTATCACAACACACTCTGTGTCACTAATATACTGTATCACTACACACTCTATGTCAATAATACACTGTATCACTGCTCTGTACACACTGTGCCACTAATATACTGTATCATTACTGCTCTGTACACACTGTGTCACTAATATACTGTATCACTGCTCTGCTAACACTGTTTCACTAATATACTGTATCACTGTTCTGCACACACTGTGTCACTAATATACTGTATAATTACTGCTCTGCACACACTGTGTCACTGATATACTTTATCACTGCTCTGCACACACGGTCACTAATATACTGTATCACTGCTCTGCACACAATGTGTCACTAACATACTGTATCACAACACACTCTGTGTCACTAATATAATGGTTCACTGCTCTGCAAACATTGTGTCACTAATAACAATGAGAAAAAATAAAGTAATTTTCCTATCTCCTCAGCCAACAGAAGATTGGAATGAGGATTAGGAAAATGGGTCAGAGTGGTGGTACCAGCTCCACCTAGAATGGGCTTGAAAAACAAAAAATAAACTGAATAGGAGGAATAACCCCCTAGGGGGTCCTCCTAATGGCTGGTATCAGAAATATGTACACCATTAATACAATGTTGCTCTAGGCTTCTTGGAGAGATATATGAAGTGTAAACAGTAAAGGCACTAGCTCCTCTGGTATAACCAAGTATCTAAAGGAAAAGAGTAAATATGTAACAAGCTTTATTAACCTTATAATATCCAGGAGATACTGTGCTAGCGATATGACCAGTGGCTAGTGTAGCTAAATCTATATCCTCCCCCCCCCTCCCCCCCGTATGAGCTTGGACTTGGTGTAACAAGGTAGCAATCCACAATAGTGTGAAAGCTCAAAAGGTACCAATGAATGTCCAAGAAAAGAGGGGGAAATAGTAAAAAGAGACAGATAATAAGTGTAACGGAACCGCTGGCACCCCGACCGGGTACCTTCCGCCGACGGATGCTCCTAGTGCTTTCCAAGGACTCCAAGCACTCTGCCTGACACCATAACCACTGCAGACCCCACGAACCGCCGCAGCTTGGTTGGGATCTCGCCGTCTTCACCCACTCTGGACCCAGGACCAGGGTCCAGCTTCCAGCAGGTCAACCTCTCTCCGGATTCCAGAGAGCAGGAACAGGAACAAGCTCTTAGCAGAGCTTAGTGATTATACCCTGGGGAGTATAGTGATTATAGCAATCCCCAGAGTGTAGTTTCTCCAATCCCCCAAACATGAGCCGAAACTTCATGAAGGTACAAGATGATCTGACTCCAATGAGCGTTTATTACTCCTTATATACAAGTTTTCAGGTCAGAGGCACACCCCCTGGACCTGGTGGTAAACTGTGACAAAAGGGACACAAACCAATGGGAACACTAATTAACATGATAACACTCTCACATACACAATGAAATCCCTCCTCTCCATCCTGGAGATAATTGGCTTAAGGCATTGCAGTAAACTCAATTATCTTCAGGTACAGAAAATATCTACATTTAACACTAACAGCAAAATACGTAAAAGTACATAAAAATACATAATTCTTATTTTATTACACAGAACCCCCACATTTAACCTATCCCCAGATAGCTCGGATCTGAGCGCCCAATCTAGGTGAACAGCGCTCAGATCCCATGAACAGAGTAGATTTTCCACGGGGTAAAGCATAGCAAGG